ATAATTAAAAAAATACCATTAATATAGGAAGTAAACAAAGAATAGATTTAGAGAGGGAAAATTTTGAGTTCAGAGGATAGATATCTGTAATATACAAAGAGTTCTTAAAAATTGACAAGAAGGAGACATATAAGATGATAGAAAATCGCACAAATGTATGAAAAGGCAGTTGATAGAAATGCAAATCCAAATGACCAATCATTTCAAAAGATTATCCAAATCACTAGTATTCAGGGAAATGCAAATTATGTAACAACTAAATATCCTTTTAATCATATTAGCAATAATAAAGGAGGGAAACAATACCAGGGTTAAGGATACTAAGGAGAGGGTATTCCCATATATGTGAAGTGTTAAACTTTTTGAAAAGCTACCTGGAAGCAGCTATTGAAATTAAAAATACTTATTCTTTTCCCACTGGCAGTCCTACTTCAAGGACTCTGTGTCACAGAATAAAGGCATTAGCCCATAAGAGAAAAACAGTATAAAAGAAGAAGCAAAAGCAGATGAGAGATTTCAATAAATTTTTGGAAGAGGGAAAGTAGACGGAGCAGTAGGAACTGAATTACTGAAATGGAGGAAGCAACAACCTACATATCGGCACTGAGCAAATAAAGCAAATTTCCTTGCAGAACCCACGAAGGGCCCCACTTGGAGACCCCAGTACCAAGAGGGTTGAAAGTCTCTGTGTGGAGAATAGGTCGACCATATATTCATCAAGAAAAGCTACTGGTGTCTGTTTGGTGGACCAGCGCTGGTGTTATCCACTACAGCTTCATGAAAATTGGTCAGTCGATCACAGCAGATGTCTACTGCAAGCTATTGGGTGGAAAATGATGAGGATGCTTGTGATTAAGCAGCCGAGATTGGTCAACAGAGACTGGCCAATCCTCTTATAAGCTAATGCTCGTCCACATGTGGCACAAATAATGCTGCTCAAACTACAGAAACTGGAAATATCGCACAAATATATGAAAAGGCAGTTGATAGAAATGCCTGGACTTGGAAACTCTCTGCCATCCACTGTATTCACCAGACCTTGCACCAACTAACTACCATTGCTTCCAGGCTTTGGACCACTTCTTGCAAGGAAAAATATTCAATCTTCAACAAGCTGTGGAAAACGCCTTTCACAATTTCGTGACCACTTGCTCTCCAGGCTTTTTTGCTACTGGCATAAACAAACTAACGTTAAGATGGCAGAACTGTCAATAATGTAGGCACATACTTTGATTAAGTGTACTGCTTCTTGTTTGAGATATAATAAACTACACTTTTGATTCAAATTCAGACAATGTCATTCAAAAGGCAAAAAAGTGAAAAAAATCAACAGACCTCCTCAACAAAGAAAGAAACTTGAACAATTCTGATCCAGAGGAAAAAAAGAGAAAAATACAGATAAATGACATTAAACATTAGAAAATGCTGTGAACTATGGAAAAGGAGAGCTTTATGCTAACAAAACCATATGCCTGATGTTCTAAGGAAGATAAAAGATGAAATCATCTCAGGAAGAGGTAGGAAACCTTAGCCAGCCAGTGACCAGAGAAGAAGCCGAAAAGGCAAAGATCTACCCCTAAACAAAGCAGCTGACAGTTTCACAAGTGTGCTCTACCCTATTGTTTTGACACAGATAATTTTTGTTATTATTTAAACCATTTCAGATGGAAAGTTTCCCAACTCATTCTAAAAGGCAAGGATAACCCAGACACTGACACTGGGCAAGAGGAGGCCACAGATGCACACAGAGTAATCTCTCACTTCTCAACACTTATGGGAAAATTTTCAATCAAACCTGGACAAGATATCATTGCATGGAGCCTGTCATTCATCCCAAGTCTGTCCCTTTGCTGTGAAACTTTTCCTATGAATGACAAAACTGTCACCCCAACAAAGGGGGTTCTGACTCCACTGCCAACCTCAGATATTACTTCATGGAATCCCCAGGTTCTTCTCTGCTCCATGGTCTGGAGGTAAAAGGTGGGCTTCCTTCTTATGTCTGTGCCTGGTGGTGTGAAGTCCGCTATGAAGTTTGAACTGTGTTGAGAAGCAGGTTTTATGGCTTCCAGTTCTAATTTGCTGCCGCTACCAGCGAGGTTCTCTTTCTCCACTTCTACCTGTGCCTGCTTCCTTCACATGGCTCTGACAGTGATAAACATTCTCAGAAAGGCATGTGTGAAACCTAATGTACACATGGGAAAATACATGCATCTCTCTATCCACAGAAGGAGGGAACGAGGCTATACCAGACCCTCCTAAATCAATGGGACTTTGTCACATGTTCCAGAAATTAAAAAAAAAAAAAAAAAAAAAAAGCAAAACAAAACAAAACAAAATGACCTGATGTTTTATTGCTTTGAACAACCACCTTGAACCTTTCACATACTTTCAGGTCATTTTGTTTTGTTCTTGATATCAAAGTCTAGGAAACTCTTTGTTTTCAAATATGTATTTGACCTCTTTTCAAATTTACAATTTTTTTCTTGTTCAAACTGAAACACTCATGAGTAAAAGGCTTATTGCTCTCCTGTAGATTACAGGGCAGTTTTGAGAACAGGTGGGAACGTGTGGGAGAGGGGGCCTTGAGTATATTCAGTATTAAGAAAGCCTTATAATTTTGATGTATCAAGGAACTGATATGAAGGTTTCCAGCCCCTGGCTGGTGAGTATTCTCCTTCTTCCTTCCTGCAATGCAGTTCTTACAAAGGTCAATGTATTGTTTAAAAAAAATCCAATGATATACTAAAAGTTATAAGAAATTATTATCAAGCAAAACGTATTCCAGTAATACAAAGAAGGTCTAATTTAATGATTCCATTAACATAATCTTCTAATTAAAAAATAAAAGAAAGAATTTATATAATCATCTCAATAGTTGCCAGAAATTACACTTCATTGCCTGGTTCAGAAGAAGAAAAATCTTGGCAAGGAAGAAGATACCTAATAACAGTTGTCTATCACAATCCTATAGGGAGTATCATTTTCAATGTTGAAACATAGAAGCATTTATATTAAAATAATAAAAAATATAAATATGCTTATATATGTTGCTACTATTTAATATCTACTGAATAAAAATCCTATTATGGAACACCTTATAAATAAAGTTAAAAGACAAACAACAGAGAAAAAAATTCCAATATTACTATCCATGCTATATAAAGAGTTCCTATAAATCAATAAGGACAAACAATCCCAAACAAAAATGATATAAAACGATATAGAAACAATTCACAGGAATAAAAATAGCAAATATCCAATAAGCAATCACATGCATTAGTAAGATCAGAGAAATTAAAATAAAACAGTAATCGAATAATATTTTTGATTGACAAATATTTTAAAAATTGATATGAAGTATTTATAGTGTGATGAGTGAATGCTACAGGGGTTTTTTGGAAGGTAATGTGGCTCTTATAACAAAAATTGAAGTATACATATTAGCCCCAGAAATGCCTGTTCTTGATTTTTCTCCTGCAAAATGCTCGCCCATATGTAGTTATGGTAGTATTAGGATGGTTATTGCTGCATTATTCATAAGAACAAAGAATTAGAAACAACGAAAATAACCTTTAGTGGGAAAAAGGTTAAAAAATGGTTCTTCCATCATCACTTTCACTTTATGTACTTCTACATTATTTAAAGTTTTATTATAAGAATACCTTCATATACAACTTATAAATTTTTAAAAATTTAAAGACTATTAAATGCCACTAATCCTCTTCTTCTTCTTCTGACAATTATTGCCTTTTGTTTTTCTAACACTTAACAACCTCAGGAAGTCGTTAGTCAGATGGATGATGAATGTGGACCCTTGTCATCAGTCCCAGCGAGAGAAAGTTGCTTTGTGTTAACATTATTTTCCCTTCTGCTGGCAGCAGTGTTCAGGATTTGCAAGTACTCAACAGATGGGAAGAATAGGCTCATCTGTGCTCTTATCTCCGTGATGTGATTTGGGGAGCGACTCATGCCCCCCAAATACCCTTTTGCAGGGGGTCACAGAGCTCCTATTCCTCCTTGATTCTTTGTTCTTCAGGACTGAGATTCTGTTTACTCTCCTGAGTCCCTGTCAGCACTGCTGGGGAGAAAGTACAAGCAATTATATATCATTAGCACCTTGGCATTATCATCAGAAACACCAGTGAGCCAATTTTATACTCCCAACCTGCTCCCATCCCTCCTCCACATTAAAAATAAAACAATTGAGAGGCTTCCTTAAGAAAACTTTTTGGATATGTTTTTACTTCTGTGCTTTCTGTTGAAGATAATTTTTAAAAATTGGAAAGGAGTTGGAAAGGGTGGCATAGCAATGGATTTTTCAGGAAGGTCCTGCTTGGGAGATAAAGGTAGCTGAAGGGAAGTGAAACCCAGACTTGAGAAATGCCCTTCTGCTTCTGTCGGGAGAAGGAAAACGCAAGTGAGTTTGTGTGAGAGGAGCAGAAAGCTCGGGTTTCATTGGTTGTGTGTTGGACCGTGGCAGGAGCTGGGGGGAGGGGGGGGAAGTCAACATCGCTAAACGTGAAATGTGAAAGGCCTTGAGGATTTGGCCAGAGCGCCTTGTGTATATCAACAGTCACAAAGCAAACCAGTGATGAGTGTGTATCCTGTTGAAATCATGGAAAAGAGAGATTTGAAAAGTTTCTCCAAGTCAGTCATTCTCAACTGAGGTCCCTGCACCAGCAATAATATCAGCATCACCTGGAAAACCTTTTAGAAATGGAAATTCTTGGAACAACCCCAGACCTCCTCATTCAGAAGCTTTCATCATCAAGCCTTCTAGGTGATTCTGATGCATGCTACAGTTTAAGAACCCCTACTCCAGATCAGGAGTTGGGAATCTTTCTTTCCACTGAGGGCCGGATAGTAAATATTTAAGTCTTTGCAGGCCATAGGGCCTGTGCCAGGCTGCTCCCTCTGCTGTCATAGGGGAAAGCAGCTGTAGGTAACATGGACATGAATGGCCGTGGCTGTGTTCCCATACGATTGTGGGTTTTTAAAAAAAAAAAAAATACATTATCTCTTTGGGTGTCCATTTCTTCATCTAGATGTCACTAAGTCACTATAACTACATTTCTTTGACAGTCTATTTTTGATAGCACTACTTAGCCTTCCCTTTTATTTGCCTGTGTAGATATAATTTCAGGACAGACATTCCACGTTGCCTGAACCATAAATAGTAACAACAGCAATACTTACCTAGCTAGTACTCAATGATGTGTCAGACATTGGAAAGTTTTATAGCTGTCAAATCATTTTACTCTTAGCACAGTCCACTGAGGAAGATTTGATGATTACCATCCTCTATTTAAAATTAGGGAAACTGAGACACAGAGAGTTCACTTAACATGCATGAGGTTACACAACCTTCATGTAAGGTGAGCTGTATTTGAATTCCAGCAGCCTGGCTCCATGTTCCTTCTCTTAACTCCCATTTAGTACAGGCTATCAAAGCAAGAATTTTACTCTCATATTAATGAGTATATTATGGGATGATGGACTTATACTTTTGAAATTAAGAACTATTATGGAAAGTTTGGAAAAACAAACAAACAAACAGGGATTTGGCCTGCAGGCTGTGGTTTGCAAATCGCTGTTGTAAATAATAATAACACCTACCACTTATTGAGTATCTCCCGTGGGACGGGGATGATGCTTTTTATAAATTATTTCATTTATTTCCCCTAAGCTCCATGAGGTGGGCATTGTTGCCCCCATCTTCTAGATACCGAAGGAGCTTCAAGCTTTCCCCAAGGCACCCAGCTAACAAGCCTAGGATTCAAACTTTATTTCACGGCAAAGGCCATGTCGTTTACATTGCCGTTTACATAAATTTAAACTAATTGCATCGTACCCATTAGTAATATTCAATAAGTAAAATATGACTGACATTTTCTTCGTTTGTCGAGCTGACATTGTTATAGTTTTAGTTATTGTAAAAGAATATTCATAAGCACTTCCCTCTGGCTGCTAGTTAACTGTGTATCCCAGCCCCATTTTCTTTGCAAGACACTGAGTCTCCCAGCTGACAGCTGAGATGACACCACTGTATTGCAGGAAACCACGGTGATAGTCCTGTCATAGACTAATAGCCAGAGGCAGGGCTCCCAAGGAAGGCCGGATAGGAAAATGCCAGCAGTACCCACCTGCCTCTCCATGCCCTGTGCTGAGCACCTAGTTCTGTGGAAAGCTGTTAGAGGGGTCACCTGAGAGAGTCGCATGTGCACTGTGAGGTGACCCGTGATGATAATAACTATTTCTTGCGCACTGTCTTGATCCACACACCACTTTAAGTGCCTGCCTTAGTCCCATTCCTGCTGCTGGAACAGAATACCACAGACCCGGTCATCTATAAACAATAGAAATTTATTTTCTCACAGTTCTAGAAGCTGGAAAGCCCAAGATCTAGGTGCCAGTAGATGGGGCATATGGTGAGGGCTCCTCTTACCGCGTGCCTCACCTGCAGTATCTCCACTTATCATGAAAATGCAATAGGGAAATATGATCTCTGTTTTACAAATGAATAAACAAGGTCACACAGCTTGCGTTTGAACTTGAGTCTGACTTCAAAGCCAGTGTCTTACCTATCATACCATTACACTTTCCCGGAGGACCACCAGCAGGTCAACTGTTGGCCCGTACCAGCTTTGAAAAACCCAGGTAGCAGCTCCAGCAAATCTATCAACTCAGCTGAAATCCATTTAGACCTGTCTGTCTTAGGGGCCCTTATTCAAAGAAAAGAATCGGTAAAAAGAAAATCAAGGCCATGAAAAAACACAGACAGTATAGAAGGCTGTGGACCTTTTAGCATGATTGTAACTACTTCTTGTTGAGTAGCATAGAGGTTAAGGGCACACACTCCTGTAGAGCCAGACTGTCTAGGTTTTTAACTTGAACAAGGTATTTTACCCTTTTCTGCCTCGATTTCCTCATCTGTAAAATGAGCTAATAATATATCCACGCCATAGAGAAGTCATGAGGATGAAATAACACATAAGAACTTGGGTCAGGTCTGTCACACAGTAAATGCCCAGTTGTTTTAACTGTTGCCAATGGTTTTTATGACTGTACCTCCACATCTGTTGCCACCTGAACAGCTGACACCCGTGGCATTTCCCGCCCTTGCTATGTGGTCTTCCTCTGACTCATGCAAAGCAGTCTCTTCTCCTCCTGTTTCCAGTGTCAGCAGCTCAGTGGGTACCCACAGTGTCAGTTTGCCCCAAAATACATGTGCTTTCTCTCCCTCCACCTCCTCTCTTGCCTTACCATTCATGCCTTGCCCAGCACCGACTTCGCTGCAGATGCTTACAAAGGGTTTGTTGAACTCAGTGGAACTCCTTACTAACAGCTGGTTAATGGGAGGTAGCAAAAAGAACATTTCTTCTCCTTTATGAAAAACCCAGGATGTCCTATTTTTTCCCCTTTCTTAATCTGTAAATTGTGTGATTTACCCAGACATAGTAGGCACTCATTAAATTGCATTTGCCTCTGCTACTCTCATAATTTCATCACTACTTACTTCTTCTGTAGCAAATCTGAACTTTAATTTTTCTGTTAAACCTGAAAATCCCACTGATTGTTTTTACGGGTTACAAGCATGATTTTGATTTGAGAAGCAAGTATCATTCTGACATGAGGGCAAAGCACAAGGCATGTAATACACATAAAAATATAATTTGGTGTCATCAGGTCACCTTTGATAGCCCCTTGGTTGACACCATGCTGTGGAATAAAATAATAGCTCCAGCAGGCCCTTCCAGAACGTAATATTCATAAACAACAGGTGTGCTGGTTAATTGTTTTCTCATCATGGTGCATATTTCACACCCCATAACTCCCAAATGGAATACCAACAGAATACATAAAATTAAATGATTCAAAGATTTAAAGGGTTTATGTTTTCTAGGATAGAATGGAAAGCCATTGAAACCTTTAATAGGAACTATAACTATAACCATTATTATTAATGTCCCTAAATATGTAATGTTTATTTTTACTTTAAAAATGGACACATCAAACAAAGATGACAACCTCAAAAAAAAATGAGGTTTACGCACATCAAGGAGAATAAAGCAGTCCATACTCAGATTTTACAAAAGGAAGAGATTAGTTATCTTGTGCCTGTTTTTAATGAGCAATTGAAAAGTCCATGGTAGTGTAGCATTATGCGACAATGGCCTTCTGTTCTTCCCTTGCTGTTTCCAAACTAGCCTTTGCCCTTTGCAAGCGAGCACTGGACCATGACGCCTAGAAGGGACTGCACCAGTAATTACACTTGTCGCTGTTTACTGTCCTTACACTTGTCACCAGTTAGTGTTCTCTTCGCTGCGTACTCTACTCTGCACACATTTCAAGCCAGATAAACCTAACCAGAGTTATGTTACGTGATTTTTAGCACAGGAGCGTGTTGTGTAAGATTCTTTGTTACCATCTGTTGTGGCACCATTTTGCTGGGGGGCATAAATCCATACAGCTAGCTTCTCCCATCCCGTGATAATACCAGGGATAGTCGTTAAAATGAAATTCGAGCAACAGCGAAACATGAAACAGCTAGTCAAGCAATCGCCTCCTTTGTATTGAATTCTACGGCTGCTCTCTTTCCACTCCCATATGACTTGCTCTCTATTGTGGTGGTTTGAATACTGGTAGCTTTGGGGTTACTACTGAATGCACTCCTATTGACTTTGCTGAGAATGTGAAATACTGTATTTAGAGATAAAATCAGACACTGAATGTAACCGAAGAGGCCATTAATGTTTTAACTCTTAGTCACCTCCCCCCACCATTTTTTTGTCTTTCAATTAAGGGCAGAGATGGGAACTTTATCATTAACAAGGCTTGTCATAAACTATGCCATCCCTCATTATCCTGAATTTAATTTTCATGGATGGTCATCCTGGAAGTTCATATTAAATTTGGTGGCTTACCTTGAACACGCTATGTTTCATTAGCCACTCACCTATATAGAGACACAGGGGAGAGGAACAATTTGTCCGTGTCCTGTGGGCAGTACAAGGACGGCTGTAACGTTATGAATTAAAGTCCACTTAACTGCACTTGAAGTAGACGAAGTTGGCTTCAGGAGATCGTCCCACAGAGGTCAGTCTTGGTTCAGAGATCTCTGCCAGGTGGACCTGCTTGATACTCCTTTTGCCTCTCAAACGTGTTCCTTATGGCTAACATGTCAAGTTGACTCATTGAATCCATCAGGATAGGGTAGGTTATACTGCTGTAACAACCACAAAATCTCCATGGCTTCAAACACAGAGATACATTCCTTGCTCATGCCACCTGTCCTTCATGAGTCAACAGGGGAGGTATACATCTCTTGGACACTCAGGAGATTGATGGACCAATCACCATCTCAGACATTGCAGGTCACCAAGTCAGGAAGCAGAGAGCTTGGGGGTTGGGGTGGATCTCACATCAGTATTTAAAATGCTCTGGTTTGAAGCATTCCCACAATTCAATGGCCAGAACTAGTTACAGGGCCCCACCCATCCACAAAGGTGCCAGGAAGCGCAAGCAGACATGTTCCCCTTAGGAGAGAGGGCTAGACATATGTGACAGGCGGCACTTGTGACCACAGTAGCCAAACAGCACCCTTCTCCCTTCATTCTTCTACTTGGGAGATGAGCAAGCCAATACACTGTTTCTCATCCTCCCTTTCTCATAGGTGGGTCCACACAGTCCCGGTCCTGTCCTATGAGACCGAAATAGAAATTTGTCCCTGATAAAGGAGGGAAAGTTACAGCTATAGTCATTCTTTATTTCTCTTACACCATCTTCGTGCCTGGAAGGTGGATGCAATACCCAGCATGCACCGCAGCCATCGTGGCATGAGCTCCACACAAAAGGTGGCAGAGCAGAGAGCAGGGAAGAGTGGTTCCTGGACCACATCAGCGAACTGCTACACCAGCCCTGGGCTGCCTACCTCTGGGCATTTTGCTCTGTGAGAAATATAAACTATAAGCATAAGTCACCATAACTCAGGCTTTCTGGTTTTTTGCAGCTGAATAGAATCCTTGTGAAAATCCTTCTTTATAATGACCTTTGAAAGGAAAACATCCCATCCAAAAAAGATACGTTACCCACAGTCCCCCTAATAAAATTAAAATGTGGTTCAGAGATTTCTAATACTTGACCTTGTTCTAGACTACTTTTGCCACTCGGTCCTTCTGGCTGACATTTCCTGTTTGCTCACTTTATCAGGCTGGATAAGCTAGGTTATGATGCAGTGACAACCCCCAAAGTCCCTGTGACCACCTGTCTCTGGATTTCTTGCTTTGTGAAAAAAAAACAAACCCCTGTATCTTTAAGCCGCTTTATGACTTTAAGCCACTAAATGACTTTAAGTCATTTTTTTCTGCTCCTGAAAGGTAGGTGCAATCCTAACTGATACAATCTTGCTTATTCTTGAATTTAAAAGGAAAACTTCACATTCAAAGGGATGGTGTTACCTACAATCCCTGAATGTTTTCAGGGTTTTTTTTTTTTTACAAAGGGCTGTCTAGAAAGATGAGTCCATATAATATTCTGTTAAAGGTTTCCAGTGTATTTCCAATGGTCAGCTCCATTCATCTGAAAAAGGAAAAAAAAAACCTGCTTAAAATGTTTTTTATAATATTTCTGTCCTCTTTCAAAATTGAATACTTTCTCTAAGAAATCCTTTAATAAAAACATAAAACTTTCATTCTCTCATAAAAAAAAATGTCAAGTCTTTTAGGGATACTGGGGCACTTATAGGATAAAATCTGTTGCAAATAAAATGAAGGAAGGGAAAAGAATATACTGTGGTTCTGAAACTTTATAAAAGCCTTAGAGCTACCTATGAGAATACCGTCCTATGCTGGGAATTTTACAGAATGCAGCTCCGGCCTTTCAAGAGGCAAAGCACTTTAGAACAGAGACTCCAACTTGCTCAGCATTAACCTTGACAAATTCAGGTTTTGTCACGTGAATGCCTCCACTCGAGAATTTAGGACCTCGAGCATCCAGATCGAAGAAGGGTGGCAGAAAATTATCTTTATCTCCTTCCTTCTCCTTCCATTTTTTTTATCCCATCCCCATTCTCTCTTTAAATTTTTAACAGATTAAGTGAGTTACTTCGACAAAAAAAAAAAAAAAAATCTAATGAGAAAGTCTCTTCAAAAGCGCTGTCAGATTTCTCGCTTGTCCCCACCTTGCTCCCTGGAAGGACAGCTCTTTGCTTTATGACCATGTATTGATCTCTAATATCTTTCTTGAGCCTTGTCTCTTCTTTGCCTCCTACAGGCAAAGGGTGAGAGTTAGATAATAGGATTAATTTTCCAGACATCTGCACATGTTTTAATGGCCTTTTGAAGTTTGAAAATAGTTTCTCCGAGAGCCCACTACAGGGCTGAAATGCCATTAAGGTCTAGATTGTAACAATACATAACAATCACAGCCATGGCGCTCCGCTTGGCAACGAAAAGAAAGCTAGTTTATTTTAGTGGAGATTCCAGTTAACATACGCTCCTTACCCCACCAGGGCCAGTGCCTCCAGGTTCTGATGGGACGTCAGAGCCACCATCAGATGGAGGGCAAAGTAATTGGGGTTCATAACCATTTTTTTAGCCAAAGACCATTTTTTCAGGTCAGGGAAGTCTATGGTTCCCTTGTCAGAAAAATGCTTTTAAATGCATAAGGTCAAAGACATAGGATTATAAAAGAAACCAATTATATTGAAGTACGGTTACCAAAATTGTGAAAAAAAACATATATGACCTAGTAATACGTGTGCTTCATTTCTAAAGCATGAAATAACAAGCTCAAGGGGCAGTCTAACTTATGTTTTTGTTTTGAGACAGAGTCTAGCTCTGTTGCCCGGGCTAGAGTGCAGTGGCGTCATCATAGCTCACTGCAATCTCTAACTCCTGGGCTCAAGAGATCCTCCTGTCTCAGTCTCCTGAGTAGCTGGGACTACAGGCATGTAAGCTAATTTTTCTATTTTTTGTAGAGACAGGGTCTCAGTCTTGTGCAGGCAGATCTCGAGCTCCTGGCCTCAAGCAATCCTTCCACCTCCCGCCCCCAGAGTGCTAGGATGACAGGCGTGAGCCACTGCACCCAGCCTTAGTTTTTAAATAGTGATGCACATACACAATATTTAGAGACAGTTTCAACAACTGTAAGGTGACAAGATGTCTGTGATTTCCGTTCCGTTGGAGACAAAGCCACAAGTTTATACTATTGTAGTCTGATGCCTGCATTCACAACGGAAAGAAATACTAAATCTTAGTTCAAGTTTAGTGAAACTAAAGATGCAGTTTTTCTACTCCAAGTTTACAATTCTGAATTCTGTCCATGGAGCACTGGGCTCTCATGCTAAGAACCCCTGAGAATTTTGTATTGTCAATTTCTTAGAAATTGCAAGTCCATATAGACACAGAACAATTATTTGTATTATTCCTCCCATGCATAGTTTAATATTAATTAACCTTGAGAAAATATTTGGATGAATATGCTTTATATTTGATGTCATTCCGGACCTTTTCTTAGTGAAACACATACCCTGAGTTGTATTCACAGGACTAGGGATGGGTCCTGTGGAGACACTGGTTTTCTCTTGACTGTCTTACAAACAGTTGTGAGGCAAAGTAGCCTTGAAGGGTTTGTTTATCCTTCCTTATGCAGAGCTACCCGGCCAGGTGTTGGAAATCTACAAGAGACACTGGCATTGTCACCTGATCTACCTAGCTGGCCAAGGTAACCACATGAATGGTACCTGTTTTATAATCTGACATCTGAAGCTCTCTGAAAGGAAAGGAAAAGTGGTTTCAAGTACTGTGAACATTTCTCTTAGGATTCAACATTGGTCTCCCATGGAGCATAGTTTTAACGGAAAATAAGTTCAAATTAACCTCTTTATAAATGTAAATATCGGGGAATTTCTTAACATTTCTTTAACATCGGGGAAAATCTTAACATAAAGTGAGATTTAAAACCAGGAAATTCTTTTTATTTCTTGCAACATACTAGAGGAACTGATTTAGCCTGTCCCATTACATAGTGATAAAGCAGCATTTGATAGCAGCAGCCTATGTGATAAAATGATTATGGCAGCAGTGAGAAAGAATCTAATAAGAGAATTGATCTGCAGATTCCAATTCTGTAAGAGCCAGAATGGATCAACATAAATGTCAATAATGACATCGTATTGAGAACTGCCTAATTCCTTTGGATGATTCTGTAGTCTAGTGACAGATTCAAGAAGTAAATGTGAAAAGGAATTTAAAACTCTCACAATCACTCCATTGACCAGCAGCAGGACACATGGTACTTTGGTGCCACATGATGCAGTCTGTCTTGGTCCTGGATAAAATTAATAAGACAGACATTGTTAAAGGATTTTCATATTTCAAGTTTTGTGTTATCAGTACCATATCGTGATGGTATAATAATGGCTGTTATTAAACTTAGAAATTATATTATAGTTAGACATTGCAGCTTAGGGAGGGGGACAGGAGAAAATTAATGCTCTTGTTTGTTTGTATCTTTGAGAGGCCACGTCTAGACAGTGGAGTGGCAGAGGAAACTGTCAGTTTTCAAGATTGGTCAGGAAAGGTTACATGGAGTAGAATTCTCAAGTTTTCATTTGCCATTTTATACATGCCTTCATTGATTGTCTGCCTAGGGCTTTTACTAAGAACTGCTCTTTAACTCCATAGGTAGCAACAAGACAAGTGTCCTCAAGTTAGCTTCAGGGTCAGGAAAACTGGGACATATTAAGGCCCGTGAGCAGGGCTAGCAAGTAGGGCAGAAATGCTGGCGGGGGCATCGAAGTAAGGCTACAAGACACCAGCTCTGCTCACTTTCCCCGGAGGCCATCTTGTGAGGGAGACCAATGTTCAGGCTCCCTTGTTTCCTCTGCAGGTCGGAGTGCCTTCCGGGGCTCAGCAGCCCTCCTGTGGAGACAGGAAAGGAAACCCACTGAAACAGGCAGGAGCTCACAGCAATGTGCTCCTGACATTCTGATTGCAAAGCAACCTTGGCTCAGCATTGGCAAAACTGACCTTCCCAGAAGTATTTATGCTCCTTTCCCTTGCTGCTTCTGTTTGTTCTGCCTTAGCCGTGGACCCTGTTGCTGACTTCACACTTTCTGGAGTTTGCTACCAAAAGGGTGATTCTTCAGTGGAGGTGATTCTCATATTAATAAGCTCTTTCAGGAGCGACTTTTGATATGCAGTAGCAGGCATTCATTTGGCTTTGTCACTAATTGAGGATAAAGGGGAGAAAAAAGCATGTTATTCTGTTATTAAAAAATTGTGTTAAAATTCAGAAGTCCACTCTTACCCCAGTAAGCTCAGCAATGGGAACATGACTAGACCCTTCTGTGATGATGAGATGTCCTTCAGAGCCAAATGATAACCATAAAGGTAACATATCCAGGGTATGAGCCTGAGCAGCCACACGGGGGGTTCAGAGGGCCTTGTCCTTGATTTAATACTCTGCTGTCACCATCTTGAAATGCTTAATATCTTTTTTACAAAGGGCCCCTTGCACTGGGCCCCACAAATTATGTCACTGGTCCTGATAATAGCTAACAGTTTTTAAGCATTTAATATGTCCCAAGCACGTTAACTAATTGAATCCTTACCACCACCTTATGAATTCAAGAGTTCCATCTCTTGAATTTGAAATCATCAGTAAGCTCTTGTGAGCTAGTATTATTATTATCCCTACAGGAAATGAAGACTCAAAACATGAAGTAGTTTGCCCTAATCACACGAAGCCAGGATTTAAACCCAAGATTATGACACCCATGGCCATGTGCTCACCTGCCTCCCTGGGTATGGGTGTAGCAAATGAGGATGGGAGGTAATTTGTGAGACTGAGCCAGGATTTATCCTGAGTGTTTAAAAGCTAATTGTATAGTTATTATCCTCTTTGTCTTAAATATGTCAGCTATAACGGAGGGTTGGGTCCATTGGATTCCAGTCGATTGAAGTACTTATTGATGCAGGGAAATTAGCCACAGCTTGTGGACCAGGACTTTGCTCCAGGATAGATCTTGATGACACACTGGGCTTGGTGATGTCTTCTGTGACTCAACCATTGGCTTTCTGAATATGTGATTCACATTTTACACAATGACTAGATTTTTATGCGCTCAAGTTAGAGCTCATCTTATTTCATTAGTTTTTAATCAGTAGGAAAGGGTTTGTGAAAGACATTTACCATCCCACACCAAACAACTGAACAAAACAATAGAGATTTATATGGAATAAATGTTTTAAATGATTTATTAACATGAAGTATTTGAGGAGAAATATTTGTAGTCTTTAACCCATGGTCTAAGAAAAAAAGTATTGTCTTTAAAACCAGCTGATTACTAACAAGTGTTCAAATCAAACCCTTAATTTTAAAATAATAATTGCTTCTTGGGAATTTGAATTTCCGCATAGTTGCTCAAATGAGTCTAAGAGCAGTTTCTTTTCTCTCTAATGCGCATTTCTTTGTGATAGGTATTTATAGATTCATAACCAATTCCTCTGAAAAATAAGAACTCACTTTTTAGTGTGTATTCTCTGAGGGTGAAAATGCTGTACATGATATAAAGTGAAAGGAAGGCTCAGAGAAAGATTACTTTGCATCTTTGAGGAAAGTTTCTGTCAACGCAGTTTACAAAAATTAATAACTCTTCAGGGATTTGAGAAGATAGAATAATTTTAGGATTATGGTAACTGGTGACTGTCTCAGAAGAAAATAGAGAGATTATGTTATTTATATTTATGCATCAAATATCTGCTTAATACTTCACAATTTCCACCCTAGGAGATTAGGAATTTCTCTTTTTCACCTTCTTTCTCAGTGCCTGGTTCACAAATTCACATTGTTTACCCAAGTCCAGATGGGATTGATTAGAACAAAGTACCTGTGTGGGTAGAATCCGAAGCGAAAGCAGTGGAAACATTGTTTTATGTCTTGCAGAGGATTTGCCTTTTTACTGAATTTTCTGATGCAGTTGTAACTCCCTAATCCATCACACAAATGTCTGTAATATCATATCCATGTTCTTTTCTCTCAGTTGTTGCAGTCAACTTCAGTCAACTCAGAGGATTTGCTGGGGAAACTGTTGAGAATTTTGAGTTGAAACTCTAACACCCTTTCTATCTCAGATTCTGTTTTCAACAGCTTCCTCTAATATGCCTGAAATAAAAAGCCCACAAAATTGAAGTTTAAATATAGAATATATTTAGCAAACTAATAGAAAAATAAAAATAAATCCACTTGACTTGATGAATCCTACGTAATAGCTGGAAACTGCCGTTTGCCAAGAAATGATTTAGCTCAGTGAAATGTATTTTGCAGCTAATCCTTTAATGTCTGTTTTACATATTACCCTTCCCACTGTTAATATTGAACAATATTGTAAGCTAGTAATTTTATGCCCTATATTTCAAATTGCTATTAGGAAGCCATATAAATAACAATTTTCCACCGCTTGTTTATAATACCATGAGGCATTTCTTACCATGGGGTAAAGTAACAGTGGATTTAAAAAACTACTTTGGGGATAAAGCTACAGGAAAACCATGATGCAGATCTGTAGCAACAAAGCCTATAAGGCAAACCAAATTAATAAGTTTGAAACCCTGATAATGCACAAGTTAGTATTAACTATCAAGGGAAGTAAGACAATGGGCTTTCATTGAACATTCAGCCAGAGATTGCACTTGTGTAATACATCTTCACAAATGTTGTAAAATGAATGGGACTTGAAAATCTTGTCCTATTAAAACCAGGACATTGAGCTGTAAAATGCAGATGAGTTCACATCACAGAAGTCATTTTTGTCAACACTCTGATCTCTTTCCTCTCCCAACCCCCATGCCATGAAGTGCTGTGAGAGTGAATATCGCAGCCTGTGAAGGTCCCGGTGGTTATGTAATCTCCCAGACTCTGAATTTCATTTGTTCTAATCTTTCCTTTAATAATGTAAGGAAGCACCCATCTTATAAATAATTCTACATGACTTTTTTTTTTTGGTTCTCTAGAACACTGACAAGGCATTTTTCCCTTCTTTGGAGGTTATCTTCCAGTGCTAACACCGATCGCTTGATTTTAATGTCTCCTCGTAGTAGTTCCAAGAACAGAGCAGGGCCCAGGTATGGTTTCCGGGAAACTGTCTGGATAACACATGGAACCCTTTGGCATCACAGGGGAGGACTCACACCGTGTCTTCAGGATTAACAATTACACACCTCTGAAGTGTTGGCAGCTCTTTGCATGGTTTTAGCATGCAGCGTAACTGAGGGCCCTAGATTGACCACCACCCCTTTTGGGAAGGAGCCCACCAAGAAGGCGTAAAAGCTGTATCAGTGTCCCCTCTGTCTACATTTCCTCCCGTACACCATTGGCAGTCTATTCTTCTAGAACTTTTCTTTCTGAACATAGATAAGGGTATTGGAGGCCCATAGCCAAGTTCAGCATTAGGGAAAAATGTGAGTAGACAAAGGAGTAGAGGGAAAGCGTGTATTGTGGAGAGCCTGATGGATTCAGATCCCAGCTCTGCTACTTATTTGTTCACTGTGTGACTTGACCCAAGTTCCTGATTGCTGAGAAATCTCTCTCACCATTCCCCTGTTTGAATTCACCTCTGTGGTCTTGCTAGACATTTTTCAGAAAACAATCACATTCTCTGTCATCCCTGGACCTTTGCATATGCTCTGCCCAGAAGGCCCTCTCTTTCTTTTTTGGCTCCTGCTATGGCCTGAATGTTTACGTCTCCCCAAAATTCATTTATTGAAGCCCTCACCCCCAGGCATGGTATTAGGAGGTGGGGACTTTGAGAGGTGATTGGATCATGAGGGTGGGGCCCTGATGAATGGATTAGTGCCCTTATAAAAGGGGCCTTGGAAAGCTGCCTTGTCCTTCCACCATGGGAGGACACAGCAGGAAGGTGCCGTCTATGAACCAGGAAGCAGGATGTCACCAAACAATCTGCCATCACCTTAATCTTGACTTCTTGGCCTCCAAAGCTGTGAGAAATAAATTTTTAATGTTTATAAGCCACCCATTTTACAGTATTTTGTTTTAGCAGCTGAATGGACTAAGACAGCCACTTCACCTGAATAACCATTTCTTGTTCATAACATCTCTCAGCTATGTGAAGACTTAGCTATGGCATCCCTAGGAAAGCATCCAATAGCCCCCTGCTGAGGGCTCACATGGCATAATACATCAAAGGTGCCTGGTCAGCTTGTCCTTATATGAGCACATTGGTGGCACGGACTATGTTTGTTCACCATCATGCCCCAACATCTAAACCTGGATAAGATGACATAGTGGCAGAGGGTGAGGTTCAGTAGGGGCAGCCCTAAAGTCCATATCCAGGTACAAATCCTTGACTTAAACAGTTACTTAACCCCTCTTGTTCTTTAGTTTTCCCATCTGAAAAACGAAGGTGGTAATACTTTCTACAGTAAGGTGATTGTAATGATTAAATAAGAAACATTTAGCACAGCACCTAGCATGTAGTGAGCACTCTATAAATGTTTGCTCTTTTTCTTCCTAGTTTTACGTTTCAGCTAGGTCCAGATTTATATATGAAATTGTGTATTCCTATAAAGAATGTAGAGATCTAAGAAGGAAACTAAAACATCAATAATACCAACCATAATACTAATGATAACAGTGATGAAATGATAATTAGGAAAGTATGTATGTTTTTGAATAAATGAATGAATGATATCTGAGTCTAACAAGTGAAGATATCATATTGTATTTAAAGGCATTTCCTTTTTTTTAACTCTATGCAGTTCATTTTATCATCTAATTAATTTATATTGTTATTTTAGTAAATTGTCTATAACAAACCATCATTAACCAGATTTAATTGGGCAGAATTAAGCATTCATAAACCCTGCACTCAGACTCCCTGGGGTTCAAGCGCTATTTATGTGACCCTAGGCAAGATTTTATAGCTCTGTACCTCAGTTTTGTCACCTGTAAGATAGGGACTGATAATAGTTCTTATTGTGGATTGTGATGAGGATTGAAAAGGATAATATATGTGAAACACATACTTAGTGCTAAAAAGGGCTCAATAAGTGTTCACAGCTGTTATTATTATTATCTTTTCCTCAATTATCTGCCTCTAAAGAAGAACTTGGGCAGGAAAATCACCAAGGCAACATAGTTCATCTGATTAGAGTTGACCAAATTATGGGCTTAGTGCTTAGGGAGAAATAAGCTACTTCCATTGCACTTGCCTCATAAAAGACACTATTGATGACTATCAGTTCACTCATGTCATAGAAACAGCAAACAAAATGTGGTAGAAAGAGTTTGAAATTAGAAGGAAGGTAGATCTGGGAGAGAATGCTGGCTCTACCACTTCTGGAATATATATATATATATAGCCTTTTGACTTCAGATACCTTCCTTAGCTTCTTCATCCCTAAACACTAAGATAACAGCTTCTTCCGCACAGTAGCTTGAAGATTCATGAGATAAACTGAGGCAAGGGACTTCACACAGTGTCTCTTTCCCGAATGGAGCGAAGGGTAATTCATTTCTTCTTAATGAAGGCACATTGAATTCCAGTGGCCATCAATGCTGTTTCCAATAGGTCTGGCAAAAAATAGAAGCTCAAGTTTTGGGGTTTTTTTTTCTCCCAATCTATTTAGTTTGGTGAAATCAGAGGGAAAAAATTTCCCCCACGTGTAAAAAACAAAAGCCTCAGAAAGTCAGAACTTTTCAAAAATAAAGCTTGATTAAAAATGTAAAATGCAGTGTAGATAATTTTACAAAACAGCGGGGGCAATTGGAAAGCACTTATTAAAGTACCTGTTAAAGTAATTAGTGATGAAAATGGAAATTTCAGGACACTTCTGTATCTCTTAGATCCAAGAATAGGCTCAGGCTGTGCTGAATCACTTCCTCCCTCAGATCTGATTCACAGAAAATGACAAAAGGGAAGCTTCAAAGAGTCTTCGACTTGGCAAGCAAATGTGAACCGCTTGCTCTTAGGCTCTGCCCTGCCTAACTGGTCTCATTGCCCTGCCATGGGAGGCTGAACCCTGCATCCTTTTTCTCAACATTCTGTCACTTTGCTCTTACAGCTGAAGTTCCTGGTTCTTTTTTGTTGTTGTTGTTTTGTGTAAAGATTTCAAACCAAGAGATTTGGGAGCTTGGCAGTGAGAGCTAAGTCCCTATCGCACAGAATCTTATCTTACAGTATTTAACTGTGTTGTGAACACACTCACCCCCACCTCCACCCCCAGAGCACTCTTACTCTACTATCATCTCTTTTGCATGCTCTACCCAAGAATTCTTATGTTTTGCTTTTTTTCTCATTTGTGTGTTTGGGCTCCTCATTGATAGCATAAGCTCCATTAATGAGCTTTCTTGAGTCTGTCATAGTTCATAGTCAGGACTCTGAACACAAAATAGTAGATGCCTCATAAATGCTTCTCGCGAAGGTGAGGTCTGCTCTTTTCCTCCTTATCCATCTTCCTGCTGGTCCTCACCCTGCAGGTGCTAAGGGCACTGCTGATGGAATTGCGGCAGATCGGAGGGTTCCAGATACTCTAGGCAGCCGTCTAAGCTGTAGAGACCCCAAATAAACTTCCTGGTTGTCAAACCAAATGCTGTTCCCTTAGGCAGCCGCTAGATAATCAGGTTGTCATGGTAGCAGGGACCCTTGAAGAAGGTTTCAAATATAGCTGTGGAATAATTGTCTCAGAAGCATTGTGTAACCTTCCATCCCAGAGAGGTGGAAAAGTGGCTGTAGACCCATATCATTTGCCAAGGCACCGTCCAAAACAAAACAGAATGAACTCAGGGCACCTAAACAGTGATATGCAAGACAAGTTCAAAGTTGTCAGGAAAAATAATAATTGTAGCAGAGACTGTTATACATAGATGGCTTAAAAAATTAGCTGTAAAAATTTCAGACTCTATAGTGAGACCAAATTTTGATGGACATATTTTTTTTTAAAGGGCCTCTAGGAGAACATTCCAAAGACACATTCTTTGTGTCACGTCAGCAGGATGGCAGGATGCAGATATTATGTTTTGTCTTTGTATCCCAAAATGGAAATAATGGCATAATTAATTAAACATCAGCTTTTATCCAAAAAGATTTTGTCCTGGGCTCAAATTTTTGTGAATCTTAGAAATGACCATATAATACTCAGTTATATAATATGCAGTTATATAATATCCTGTTTTATAATAAATTCTTAATGGAATAGAATGAAACCTGTGAACTGTGGACTCAGGGATCTGACACAATCTTTCTTGATGGGATTTAGAAGGGCTGATGAAAACATCGCATTTCTGTGTATGGCAAAAATGTAAGTCTAGTATGTGAATAAGGCAAAATTGGAGTGTTGTTTTTTTGTTTTTTGTTTTTTTTTTTTTTGCGGGGAGGAGATCATTTGGTGAGTAAAGCTTCCATAGAAAAATTATTTTCATCAGGCTCCAAGTTATTTTAGAAAATTTCCTTGAACTTCTTTTTAGAGATCTCTTTACGCACACTTGTGAAAATTGCCATATTACCCGACAGAAGGAGCAAAGCTTGTTCACCTGGTTACGTCTAGTTCAGGTCCAAATTAAACACTTCTCTTAAATATATACCAAATCCGCCACAAATGTTTTGTACCCCTGTAACAGAAGATAGGCAGAAAGGTGAACTCACAGGAAATTGTAGGAAGTTAACAATAAGGCAAGATGCCCAGAAGATTCCGTTCTAACCCACTCCAGGCTTACTTCCGTGGAGGTGGGATTAAAAGGAATGACGCCCTGGGCTCAGGCCAGCCTCGGGCTGAGTGGAGGGAGCAGGAAGGGCCCTCGGAAGCTTTCTGGAAGCTGGGAGGTAAGAGCAGCTCTCCAAAGTGGAGGCAGAGATACTCGAAAACAAAACTAAAGCTGAAAAAGCAGTTAAGTTCTTCATCCAACAAAGCAGCCTAGGATACAAGCCGTTAGATTTGAGAGAAGGTGATTCCTAAACAAGGCCGAGTCCAAGTGAGCAACCAGCCACGATGGGCGAGGGCGGCGGAGCTCAGCAAGACAGCGGGCAGGAGTGACCAGGGCAGCTGCCAACATTCCCTCTCCTGGGGCAGGCGCTGAATAGTTCAAACCTCTCTTTTATATAGATATTTGGCTTTTAATAGTCAGAGCAGAGAATAATTATTGCATGATTCTAGTATTAAATTAATTCTCTCATCAAATCTGAATGAAGAGAAGGGAGCCATGTTGAAATGCTTCTTTTTATGCTGTCCTCTTTGCTTCTAAAGCTGACTTAATAACTTCTGAAATCCTGACATGAAAAAATCCACACATTCCTTTTTAACCTTTAGGAAGTACATCAGCGAATACAAAAGCTGCTCATCGCTCTTTTACTTGATTCGTCCAGCGTGGTCTCCCACGCTGCTCCAATTTTTTAGACGAAGATCTGTTTATTAACCTCACCTTGTGTCACTGCATGAGGACTCAGTGTGTTTCTGGCCTTACCTTCCTTAAAGTTGAGAATCATGATGGTGCTCAGTAAAAGCCTAGATGGAGAATTGTGTGAAATGCAGCAGGCCTTCACTGAGCATCTGAGGAATGCAACGTGATGGTAGACACTGGCCTGAAAGGCTCAGGCACGCCTCCCTCTCCAGTTCCTTCTGCTGTCATTAGCTGGAGAGCTCCAGAATCAGTCACCACTGCCCTGAAGGGGCCTTTCCACCTTCATTCTGTCAAAGGACAGCCAGTTCTTGGCACAGTCTTACTTGTATGGGAACTATAACAAGTGACTCGTGTGTACCTTATAATTTAAGAAATCACCCACCACCCCATTTATGACAGTAAGTTGGTGTAATGCTGTGTGGATTTCAGCATACTGTCTTATTTGTTGTCCCTTCTTACTGTGACAATGCCCACCTCCACCTGTGGTGGTGGATTAAGTAGCCACCTCCATCTTTCTGAAACAGGTGATAGAGAAGTTTGATTACATTCCTGGGATCCTACAAAGCCTCAGCAGGGCTGGAACCTCTTCCTTCTTCCCTCTCCCACGCAGACCTTACCTGTTTCAATAGAGGGCACTGACCCATTTGGAGAAAAATGACTGAAACGTAACATCATTTAGGAGGGTGGGTTTTTCCACGCACGTATTCAGGCAGTGAGCAAAAGGGTGACATCATACATCTGAGAAGAAGTGAAGTGCAATCATGAACTGAATAAGAAGTCAGAGAGCTGATCTATAGAGGAGTCTTCCCCCAAATCATGTGATTTACCACTCAAAATCATTTCTTTTGTGGAATGCCATTTCCCATAACTTCTGGTACTGTTCGCATATTGATAAATGTATTCGCGAGTCTCACAACATTCTGATTCTTTTGGTACTCTCTCAATCCTTTAAACTTACATGTGGGTGGGGAAAATATAAAGACATCATTTTGTTTATAGACTACAACAATCATTAACTGGCTACTTACTGAGTATGGTACGTTGTGTCAGGTCCTGGGGATGAGAACAATTCTTTTTCCCCTAGAAACTCAGATTCTAGGGGGATCTGCAGATAAGGATTATAAAAATTGTCCAGAAACAATGCCATGGTTCTGATCACCTATTGTAGTCTTAGCTCGGTTGGAGATTTATTCCCTTTTTTATGAAAATACCTCCACAAACACAAAGTGAGAGAAACAAGGGTATTGGTGTGAGGCAAGTAGTGATTTGAAGGTCCACTGTCTACCCACAACAGAAAAAATACCTTTGTCCCTGCGGAAGGGTGGGGCACAGGCCTACTACCACAGTGCTCTTCCTTCAGCAGGTGCTGAATAAATGTTTGTTGAGTAACTAACTAACCAAGTACACAGGGCTCTCATGGAAGGTCAGCCTAAAGAGAGTCAAATGGGAACAGAACAAATGCCATTCATTTAATGGAGTTTATGGTCCCTGCCAACAATATGGTAGATCTGCTGGGACCAAGTGACCTGTGGGGCAAGTCCTGCTCTCTAAGACCATCCTAGCATTGCTTAGTAGCAAAGACTCTAAGGCGTTTCTTGGATCAAGATCAGTATGCAGCAGGGCTTCTCCAGGGAGGAGAAAGAGTAGAAAAACTTTTCAGAGGTGAGGAAGGCATGCTTAGCCACATTATTTACTTACCCCATTAGATTTTTTTTTAGTGTCTGAAGTCACAAAAGTTGTAACCAAGACAAACCAGGCTACAAGTACCATTTTTAAAATGTCATCAGCCTAGCAGAAACATTAGACAAGTTTTATTGTATTTCCAATTAAGCAGATCAAATTTAATGTCCACAGAAAAGCCTTAGTAATTAGTATAAAGATTAATATAGTAAAATGTCTCTGGTTTAGCAGGCCTCCCAAGCAAAATTGAAATAAAAAATTCAGTATATGATTGAAAAGCACGTGAATATTAATGCACAAAATCCTCCAAGTCCCCAGATCCCTGATGCAATTATTTTCTATTCACATTAATTGTTCCTAACAGATGACATTAATGACTTTGAGTTAAAATGTGTCCAAGGGAAGATTTCACAAGATCAATGCTGTTTAGAAATAAGGTCACTTTTATAATTATCTGCTCAGATTTTAACCACTGCTCAACATAATAAGGTTAGCTTGGTGATTGGTTTTTTAATGTGAATATCAAAAGTTAATTTTCATACTAGCCAATAAGTATTTGGGATATTCACATTTTTTTCTACTACTTATTGCTCCCTACTAATTTTCCAAGGCAGAGTGACAAACTATAAAAGCATGATTACTTTTTATAAAGTAAAATTCACATATGTACTCATATGTATATGGAACGCTGATAAACTAAAGTAAACTTTTTTGAATTAAGACGTGTAGTATCTAATCTGAAAATGTCAACTCTTGTGAGTTTTAGCTGTCTAAGGCAGGACTTTGAAACAATTAAATTATCGCTATTGGATGTTTCTGCTTGGTTTTACCTAGAAACTTCACTCACGCATCTTAGATCTTTCATCTGGAGATTTGCTTTCAGAAGTGGAAAGAAGCAGAAGTTTGACACAGTCACGAACTGATGTTGAGCTGCACGTGAGTTTTCCAGTTGCCTTCAGAACCCTTGTTTAGATTGTTATTTTCCTTCTATCAAATATGATGTCACAAGTGAACCATAAAGTGCATCCTTGAAGCATTGTCAGGCAGATAAAAATACCTTCCTTTCTTGTGTTCTCCGAAATTCAATATCATGTCCCCCAGCTGATATAGTAAGCAGAAAGTGTCACTCTCGGCAAAAATATCATAAATCTTGGCTTTGTCCCCAAGATACCTTTTTGGGTATTGATTATATCTCAAAGTCTTTGAGAAATGGCCAAAGAGCTTTTTATTAAAACCCATGTCCCATATTATTCATCCTACTTTTATGATATATTATGTATGAACTTTTAAAAATTCATGGGCTCTGCATTTTTTTCTTTAGCTAGGGTTAGCTTTGTGCTTATTTGGCAAAACTTTAACCAGCATGGCTTTTAACTCTCATTGACGTAAAAAGAGTAACTTGAAAAAACACAATAGCCAAATAAATATATAATGAAAAATGTTAGATTTAAAAATGACATGAACATTTGTGAATAACTGGTTTTTAATTTTACTGTATAATTTTGTCAGTATATAATTGATAGGATATTAAAGGTAAATATTCTTGAGTTATATTGGAATTAAATTTCAGTAGAAAGCTGTCACTTGAAACATTTATAAAGACCTTATGACATTTAATCTATAGTATGGCCTTAAGGTCAGGAATTTTATAAGCATGCAATTCTTATTTTTAAGTGTGCAGAATGAAACTCTGGGCTTCGTTCTGTCTCTCTCTCTCTCTCTCTCTCGTTAAACTAAAACTATAGATTTTATACTGCATTTCTCACAGTAAAGATTTTAAAGCATGTAAGCCATTCAGGGTGATAATCTAAAATAAACAGTGAGAAAAGTATACTTTGGATAGTACAAATAGCATGTATTTTGCAAATTAAATCAACATAATTAAGATGATGTTGCAGTGGAAGCCAATATACGTTTTGTAACAAAGAAGAATTTTAAGAATAATCATTATCTATTACCAGTAACAGCTATGCCCAGTGGGAGTCATGGAGTTCTCTGTATTTCTGGGAGTTCTGCTCACTCTCACGGGTCTTACTTGGCATTGTGGCATAATGGCTAGGACTTGGGCCTGGCATCAGAATGCTCTATTGGCTGGGTGACTTTGGGCAAGCTGTGAAAACCTCAGCGCCTCAGTTTTCCCATTTATGAAATGAGAATAATGATATTTCTTTTCTATTTCAGAGAGTGGGGGGGGGATTAAATGAGATAATACATGAACTGTATGTAACACTGTGCCTGCTAACAATATTGAGACAATAACAAGACCTCTGTTGTTTTAACCCTCTTCTGTTCTCCTTTAATATGTGGCATCATGCCACAGCCACAGAAAAACATGGCAGAGGTGGAAATGATAACTGAGAAAGGTATCTACAAATATCGCACACATCAGTGATCCCTGGAAACAAAGCACACCCATTTTTGGCTACTGCACAACAGTTGTTTTACTGCTTATGTGCAAGGCATCAGATTATGACAGCATCTCAAGAAGTGTAAAACGGGGTATTTTGGGAAGACTATGAACTGATGGCTTCATTGAAGAGCAAAGACCACATATATATGTTTTTTTTAAAAAAACATGTTTAATAATGGTAGCAACACCTAAAAGTACCTAATAAGCATTACCATATGCCAGAGGCTGTTCAGTTTTCACTGCGATCTTATGTAGTAGGTGCTGTCATTCTCTCCATTTACAAAGAAAGAAACTGAGGCACAGAAGGGTTAAGTAATTTTCCCAAGCACAAAGAGCTATCAAGTGGAAGAGCCAGAATGTAAACCTCATAAATAGCCACAGAGTTCAAGTGCTCAACCACGGAACAGTGATTGACTGAAGTAGATAATCCTACATGATAATCACACATTGATGCAGGAAACTGTAGGAGAAATGAGCTCACTTTGAAGCCATTATATCGGGTAGCCCTTATTAAATTCAGACATTGATTGTCCAAGGTGGGGGAAGGTGGGATCATTTCCCCATGGGGAGAAGTGGCCCCTTCCTCCTCTTTGTGAGGAATTACCCTGTACCCAGCCCCTACATGTCCACACACACCCTCCCCAAGTCACTGGCCCATGGATGGGCTCAGCCATCCCCCTTATCTGGCTCAGCACAGCCCAGCTCGGACTGTGAGATGTCGCACAGTGCTGCCAAGGATCCACACGAGAGACAGGCTCCTCTAATAGCCTCTCCTAGAGGTTTGCTACGCAGAGCACAGGTCATAGAATAGCAGCATCGAAGTACCTGGGAACTTGTAAAAAGTACTACATCCATCTCCAGGTCCTCCCTCGGAATTACTGAGTCAGAATCTGCATTTTAACAAGACCCCCTTGTGATTCATGTGCACATTAAGTGTGGAAAGTAACCATCCCTGCCTGCCTGCATGTGGCATTGGCACACCTTTTCCACCTCCCTTGGGTATCCTCCATCACATCTGGGCATCTCAAGTTCAAGGCCAAAGGAGAGGCAGCAGTTCCTTCCTGATGTACCCCATCCTCTGAGTTCTAGTTTCCCAGTTTCCCGTCATCTTAATCCGGCACCTATTCAGGAGGTATACACATGCGTGATGCCTGGAAAAGTGTGCTTATTCATTAAAGGGGGCCTCGGAATTGAGTTGAGTTGTAAAAGTAGGTATAATTTTGATAGAGGTATTGGGAAAGGATAGGTGGGAAAGACAGAGGGAATTACTTACAATAGCTCAGTATTTTGGGAAAAGGCAAAATGTACATTGTAATCAAAAACTGAGCAGAGGGTGAAAAGGCCATTGGAGAAGTTTAGGTCTGAATAGCCTGGCAGGATGCAAACACACACTCTGTCTCTCTGAAGAACAGACACACCTGTCAGAGCAGAGGCAGTCCTAAATAACAACCCCACTCTGCTTACTAAAACAACACAACATGAGAGAACAGGATGGGGGCAATGGAAAGCACACAGGTACAAGTGGAGCCTAAGTGATATTTCTGAAAGCACATTCCAGATGTTTGCAGTGGCTGAGGCTTAAATGACAGGTGCTTTTGTACAATAGAACCATTGGTTGTAGGCATCTGTTCAGATACAAATATGAGCTCCCTTTAACTAAGTTACATCTGGCAATAAACAAGGTCATAAATCAGTAGATATTGCTGAAAGCTGGATTTTAAGACATGTTTCTCCTTTCAATTATACTTAGAGCCAAATTTCAGGGGGGGGGAATGGAGTAGTAAAATTTCTTGGCATTTTTAGATCACTTAAAGAGATTGTTATGCAGCAAAAATGAAGTATTGATAGCAAGGCAGATGCCTAATACTGAAAATCTAGCATTATTAAGCATTATGGATATTGATTAGAAAGCAAATTAAACATGCCTTATGTACTTACGTAGGGGCTTAATATTTACCACAAGTACTCTCAGATCACCCTTGCCTTCCTTCCCCAGGCTGGTGTTTAGTCACCGTCAGTTGGAATTGCATTTGGAGAATAGTGATAAGTACTCAGGTACTAAAGGCACCCATAAACTGTCAATAAATTGCAGAAGTAAGAAGCTTTGCCACTCTGCAAGTGACACAAAGACAGATGGCTCCCCATCAAAGAGTTTCTGAAACAAAGCTTGTATAAATAGGAGACTCAAATTAGATGGTAATAGGGAGATTCTGTTCTCAGTGGTCGGCATGCTAAATTAGTTTAGCCTGTCCAGTTTCTGGAGCTTCATCTGTTACAAGAGGGGCCTACAATGTGGCTGTCAGGATATGCTTGGATGTTTATAGCTTTATTTGTCACCCTTGATTGTGCAGACCCACTAGAACAGGTGTCCTCAAACTATGGCCCGCGGGCCACATGCCGCCCACCGAGGACATTTATCCAGCTCACCGGGTGTTTTTGCCACCGCTGCCTGTCCTGCTTAGCAGCCAACTCATCCTGGGCCCACAGTGCGCACTCTCCAACAGTCTGAGGGACAGCGAACTAGCCCCCTGTTTCAAAAGTTTGAGGACCCCTGCACTAGAACTCCAACAGCCTGGACCTTCTGCAAGGGACCCAGATCTATTTGATGTGAGGGTTGTTGCCATTTGGGTAGGCCTGGATATGAAAAGTTATATTATCATTTACAGTGGAGACTCGTGATATGGAGTTTGGGGTTCACTGTGCATGGTTTCCTGTCAGGTGGCCCAGATGTGCAGTGGGCATTTGGTTGCTTACTTAGAAAGACACCATCGGAGGTAGAGGGGACCATGGCAGGAATCTGGTAGAGCTCCCTCACTCTAGAGATGAAGACACTATGGTCCATGGAAGTTAAGTGTTTTGTGTGCCCCAAAGCACATATTTAGTGGCAGTGTATAGCCTGAGATCTAGACCACAAGACTCACACTCTAGTGCTCATGCTCTTGAACCTGTAGCCAAAGACAGCTACTCTGTCTTCTTCCTTTTGTAGACCTGGAGTCATGCTTTGATATTGCTCTGATTTTCTCACCAGTATGGATAAATAAAATGAGAAACCACCATTGTGGTACTTTTGTCTAAAAATTGTGGTAGCTTGTAATAATGACAAGCTACACCTACAATAGGCCAGACACTGTGCTATGTGCTTCACAGCTAGGGCCTCACTGAGTCTTTGCAATAACCCTGTAAGTGAGACAGTATTATTATCATTCCCTTTTAAAAGAAAATATGGCTATAAAGATGAAATAATTTCCCTATAACCACAGTTAGTAAGAGGCAGTGCCAAGATTTGAGCCTATAGTCTATCTGACTCCAAAGTCTGTGCTTCTAGCTACTGCACTGTACTACCCAGAATATCCCTGACTTGCAATGGTTCAACTTAATGATTTTTCAACTTTACGATGGGGCAAGTGATATCATTTCAGTAGAAACTGTACTTTGAGTACCCATACAGCCATTCTGTTTTTCACTTTTTAATACAGTATTCGATCAATTACATCGAATTGAGATATTCAACAATTTATTACAACATAGGCTTTGTGTTAGATGATTTTGCCCAATGTAAGTGTTCCAAACACATTTAAGGTAAGCTAGGCTAAGCTATGATGTTGGGTAGGTTAAGTGTGTTAAATGCATTTTCAACTTACGATGGGCTTAACGGGATGCAACCTTGTCTTAAGTCGAAGAGCATCTGTATTCCTTCTTACATCACCATGAGGTTCAGTTGATATTTACTCGCCCCCTAAGCAAGATATTTACTCTCCCCTGGCTCAGAGCTGTCCTGCTCTTTCAGGAATACCAACTGAATGCAAAATCAGGAACCCCGGCTTTGAAATGCCCAGGCCTGGGGGTTGTTGTCCCTGGTCACCTCTGTCCTCGAAACAGCTGCAGCAGCAGTGAACTGTCTCTTTCAAGCACCTGCAGCGAGTACTCCAGCGGCTCCTCCTACACATGGCATGATGGGAAGAACCTCAGGAAAAGGGTAAGGCCTCCTTCTAAGGCACTTCGGTATCAAAGGGAACCAGAAAAGAATCCTCTTCTGGTAGGGTTTGGTCATGGAGGCGAAGGCTGGGTGGCAGGGGTAAAAAGGAAATGACCATTTGCTAAGTATGCACTCACATATTATACTGACCTCCTTTAATCAGTGCTATAGTTCTCAGGAAACACTATTTTACCATAAATTGGAGGACAGCATAGTAGAGAGAGAAAATACCATAGCAGATGACAGGGGCCATGACATCAAGTAAAGGTAGGCATATTCCTACGAATATGCCAGGAATTCCTTCACCAGTTTTTTAAATAATTACTACCACTGGAATGACTCCCATCTGCAAAGTGGGCTCACACAACCGAAGATTTCCCATGCTTTGAACAAATCTCTTTGCCCACCAATGTAAGGCAAATATTTGAAGTAGGTGTTTTAGCAGTTCCCTAATGTTGAAGAAAGACAAAGAGTACACGAGAATGGAAACTCTGAATCAGAATATTTGGAGGTCATTTTTCTGTCATTTGTATAAACTTAGTTTATGGTTTTGGCACTATAGAAACCAGAAAAAGTCCAAAACTCCCAGAAAATATTAGCAAGGGAGTAGCTTTGTCATCCTCTGAGCAAGAACTCAGAAAAAGATTTCAAGCTTGCGTTTAGAGCTTATTCCCTAGGCCTCAGACTTCTAATGCAAAGTACAGAGCCTGCCACATTATCAAAATTGCTCCCTCTGAGGAGTTGTTAGGAGCTCTGAATAATGACTGCTCGGGGCCTGGCTCGGAACGGATTGGGAAGATGGCTGGGGATGTTTTCTCGCTCCGTCTGTGGAGACCGCTGGCTCCCAGGGCTCCCTGCTCTGCTCGTTTCATTCTCACACCTCTTCTTCTCTCTCCTGCAAGAGTCTCTTTACTTCCTTTTTCGTTTTTTGGCCAAAATTCTTCCAATTAGGACCCTCCTTGATGTTCTAGGGCAATTTCTTCCCTGAAAGAAGAGAAGGAAGGTTCTTAAGAAACTCCATGGACGGTCAGGTGGCCATCCTCTGGGTCCCTGATAGGGTCCTGCCATGGTCGTGGAATTCTACTAACCTGTCACATCTTGCAGTGGGCAGTCCTGGTTCTCAGGAACCCAGCAGGCTAGGCCCAGTCCTGTCAAATTATTTTAAATTTATATTAGTGAAGGAACTGCTGTAGTCCTTACCTTGTGCCAGGGACTCATTTAGTATGTACTCATTTAATAACTTACCTAATAAACTCATGGTGTATGAATTTGAATGTGAATACTACATTCACTTATATAATAAAAAATATATTACTAATTACATTTTTGAGCTCACAGGTATTTTTTTAATATTTTCTGTGTGAGAAGAAACAGAAAGGAAGCTTGCACGAAATGCACTAGCCTGCCCTATGTGAGGAATTGCCATGTGCAGCAGAGCTTTTTAAGTACTTCCCAAGTATTAGCTCATTTAATGCTCATAGTAGCCTACTGAGTAGGTTCTCCTGTTCTCCCCAGTTTACAGGTGAGGAAAACTGACATGCTGAGAAGTGAAGGGACTGGCCCCAGATCTCAGAGCCAGTACAAGGCAGAGACAGGCAGCGGGTTCCAGACCCTTCACTCTTAATCATTCTGTTTACACTGGCCTTGCGGAGTCAGCCTGAACCATGGAGGGGTTGTTCCCTTTCTAGGGTTTGATTTGTTCTGATTAACATGGAAAGTGCCCTGGAAAAAAAATTGTAAAATTGTTGTTATTCCATCAAGAAATAGAAGAGGCCTGTGGACATGAAACACAGGCCCCTGCCTGTCAGCAGCATGTTTAGCCAACCACACTGCTTCCCTGGAGCAATTCTCTTCCAGCCTCTGCCAGCGAAGAATGAAGCTGCCTGTGAGAAACGCCAGCTTCCGCCCCACCATCTCTGTCGCAGGGGATGCCTGCTTTTCTTCCCCCTCAGGTTCCAAGACTGGTCCAGACCGTTCTCAAGTTGTTAAATGCCTTCGCCTCCGGTGGCGATGTAATGGAGGAATGTGGCTAGTCTCACTGGGCAGGCCGGGAGCCTGGGCCCTGGGGGCTGGCAGCTGCTGACTCTGGGGTGGGCCACATCGCAGCTTGGGCAGGCTCTGGAAGGGAAGCAAGGAGGTTGGGGCAAAGGCTGAGCTTGTCGTCTGTGAGTTCAACAAATATGCCTTTCTCATCTCTTGTGGGGTGCTTTCGTCTGGCTTCTCTTCTCTATTGTCAATGACTGTCAGGAGCATGGAAATTCTTAGAAACCCAGACTGTGGCAGCTGCTGTCTGGTCTGTCTGTAATACCCAGATTCACTAGTGGGATTTCTTCTGATTGCCAAAGGAGTTTTTAATGGTGTGGGAGAAGAGGAAGGAGAAGATCACCAAATAGCATCTCGCCCCCCAGCACCTTCTGATGCTGGAGCATTTTCTAAAGAAAATATATTATTTGACTTCAAAACAAATCAACCTGTGTGTGTGATTGATAGCAAGGATAGTTTTCATGGAAATTCTTTAGATGTAAGCACACGTTCACAACTTACTAGGAAGCCCAGATCCCAGTGGAAGTTTCTGATACCTTTTCAGCCTCTGTGTATGAGCATGGGGCTGGTGTCTGGGGTTGTAGGGCAGGCGGGGAGCTGGTATAGCCAAGATTGGTACAGAGTGTGCTTCTGAAACCACTTTGGTCCTCCCCTGAAGTTCTTCACTGTTAATCCTGTAGTCTTTTTAAAAGTCATGATGTCAGGCCCCTAAACTCTACACGTTCTACACTTGTGCGGGGTCACCTGTGATCTGTGTGATGGCACTGACCCATGTAGCAGCGAGACCAGGGGCCAACCTTGGCTTTGGTAGCACAGCATCAAGCGGAGGAGTGCGGGCTCCACAGCCAGACACATCCCCCTCATGGCCACTTTTAAGCTGAGTCAAAATCGGCAGTGTTGTAGAAAGAGCCCAGAGTTCAGACCTTTGCTCCAGCTCTTCCTCACTGTGTGATCAGTCACTCTCAGGTTCCTTTTTTGAAGACTGGTCTCACCAGACCAATCAGTGACTCTCAGGTTCCTTTTCTGAAGATGAAGTTAACCACTTCAGTACCGGCGTCGACTACAGTCGACAGCCACAGATGAACTCGCACAGCCGAGCATCAACTTTAAAAGTCGACAGCCAAACGCTTTTACTTTTATCTCTGTGGTTGCAGTGTGTACCTTCAGCTAATAAGTTACTACGAATCTGTGACCTTTTAACAAGTCCTTAGTAGGAGCTATTATAGTTATTTCCCTAAAGCTGCCTGTAAAGTAAAACAAGCTTTCAGTGCTTTAAAGCTTTTCTCATCACACAAGAGCAAAATGGATTTGTGTCAATGCACAGCACAAACTATCGTGCGGACTGAGCGCCGGCTGTGGGCACGGTTTCCCGGCCGGTAAGCGCCGTACCGGACTGGTTAAAGCACTGTGTAATGGCTGGGATACAGCAGGTGCTCAGTAAAGGTTAGTTCTCTTTTTTGCCCTTTCATTTCCCATTAGCACTACTATGAAAAAATACAACTGCGTAGAGAGCAGCCCTTTGCCGATGTCATTTCCCATACACTTTTTCAAAGCTAAGGCTGGCATCTATGCTAAGGCTGGGAGGTATGTATGAATGGCGGGAAATTGACCCTTCTAAGTTAGTAGATGAATAATTACTATAGGGTTCTAACAGCAAATGCCCAGCTGGGGGGTGTGTGTGTGTGTGTGTGTGTGTGTGTGTAGTAACTTTACAAGTTTTTCATAAATGTCCATTGCCTATCAAACAAAGCCATAAAGTCACAGAACTATCAAATGTTAAAATGAGAGTGACTTAAAGATATGGACCAACTTAGTGTTTTCAGCTTTACCCTCTCCACTTCTCATAGATACTCTACAGCGAAGCCATATTGTCTTTTAGTCATTCCCTAAGTTCACCTTGAACATACCTTCCACCTTAAGCTTTGCCCATCCTATTTCTTTTACTCCGGAAATCATTTCCCCCACTCCCACTTTTAACCTAAGGCAAACCAATCTGTCCTTCAATGACTAGTGAAGTTTTGTTGTTTTTTTTTTTTAAAGAAATACTTTACTATATGCCTTTCATGATTTTTCCAAAGAGATCTGTAGTCTTCCACCTCTGATCTCCTGAGTACTTACTCTTTGCACTTCTCATTTGCTCCTGTGATGTACAGGCAATGGTGGCCAAGTGTCCTCTCACCTGCTGGGATTTCTGTTCCATGAAGTCAGGGTCCTTACCTTCTATTTCTTTCTACCACTGTGCCGCTTAGCATAGGACCTGGCAAAGTGAGTGTTTGCTGCATAGTTAGTGAATTAATTAATTAGCTAATTAATGTAGGCATTTATAAGTGAATACTTATCAACCACTAGCACAAATTAAGTCCCATGACAGACTTTTCCTTTTATATATATTTGTGATCATTTCTGATATCTACTTCTCTTTCCTAGCAGTCATCACAAAACTGGGATAAAAGGCTAAGTATTGATTCTTCGCTCCCCAGTGGCTTTGCTAGTCCTACAGATGAACTACCTCCAACTCGTATCAAGGAAAGCCACATTTTGGAAGGGCTAAGAAAGCTACAGAAGCGAAAAGTATTACTTGAACCCCCATCAGCGATAACCAAATGGGGTTACAAAGATTGCATGAACTCAAATGAAGGGATATACTCTCCGGGAATTAAGAGTAGCAGCCTCAAGGAGTGTTCCCCCTGCAAACCGACTGACACAGCGAGCCCCCGCAAGAAGCCCCACAAGGCATTTGTCTTTGATACAGATTCCCATGATGACGCCGATGACAGCTCTTCTTCCTTGGTGTTGCTCCAAGCAACCCCAAGCCAGAGCTGCAGGCCCCATGGTAGTAAGCTAACCCACAGTGTTTCTGACAGTCTGTTTGGCTGGGAGCCAGATGGAAGACACTTTTCGGAAGGCACATCCTCGGTGTATCCCAGCGAAAGGCTCGAAAAGCTGCCGAGTTGTGCCAGTGCCTGTCCCTTGGAGAGGAACCTGTGCCCAAGTGTGCAGCCACCTCACGCACAGAGAGGGAGGGATCCACACCGCCAAGGCCATGGCCGCATGGCTCTCAGTCTCCAGCTTTCAGACACTGATGACAACGAAACCGTCGGTGAGTTGCACATAGAGAGTAGCGATGAGAAAAGTCCTTCAGACCTGTCATTGGCTGCAGATACCAATAAGTCCTTGGAGAACCTGGACGTCCTCATGGCATTTGGAAAATCTCAACCTGAGTCTCCTGATGAGGAGGAAAAGCAAGTGCCCATCCATGTGGAGACTAGGCCAAAGACGTTCAGTTTCATTAAGCAGCAAAGGGTTGTTAAGAGGACTTCTTCAGAAGAGTGTATTACTGTAATATTTGATGCAGAAGATGGCGAGCCCATTGAATTCAGCTCTCACCAGACGGGAGTTATCACTGTTACCAGAAATGAAATTTCCATCAATTCAGCCCCTACTGGACCCAAGGCAGAACACACTGAACTTTTACCTCAGGGAATTACTTGTTTACAGCCAGGAGCAGCTGCAAGAGACTGTCCTTTCTTCAAAAGATCTGAAGAGGAAACTGAGCGACACATTCCAAAAGCTAACGTAGACACTGTTCCCATGGTGCCCACTGAGTCTTTCAGCCCCAGGACAGTGACACCAAATACTCAGCAACAAAAGCTGGTCAGGCCAACACACAGCATGTCATGCCAGAGTAGTTCCAGGTCTTTGGCATCCCTGGGCGTCTATCAAAAGCAAAGCCTGACAAAAATACCAGCCCGGGGCAAGTCTTCACCTCAGAAATCAAAACTGATGGAGCCTGAAGCCTCGACACTAGTCCCCTCTTCTGGCCCGGTGACTGTTGAAAAATCACCAGCCTTAGCCCCTGGGAAACTCTCCCGGTTCACAAAGACTGAGAGCCCAGGGCCCCTCTTTGAATTACGGCCAGATTCACACATTCCAAAACTCCCCACCCAGCTTCCGCACAGCTCCAGAATGCCCAGCAGGAGAGACTGGGTCCAGTGCTCCACGAGCCACACGCCTGGGTCACGGTCGAGGCCCCTCATCGCGCCTAGTGACGGTGGAGAGCCCCCCACGAGGGACGGACACTGCAACTCTGGGCCAGAGGCAGGGGCGAGGTCCCCCTCTCCCCCGCCCCCTCCCGGCAGGTCAGTCTCGCTGCAGGCCAGGCCCAGCCACGAGTGCTCGCCACCACCTTCAACTGCCAAACCAGAACCGAGAGTCCCCGGTGAAACAGCAAGGACGCTGTTCAAATCCCCCCTGCTGAAAGGAGCCTCCACTCCTGCTACTTCTTCTAATCAGGCCACGGCGGAAGTGCAGAGGAAGAAACCTTCTGTGGCCTTCAGAAAGCCTATCTTCACTCACGCACTGCCCTCCCCAGACACGGTGGTTCCAACCAGATGCCCCGCTCATGCCCCCTCCAGCTCCTTCGCTGCGATGGCTCTGGGGCCTCCAAAGGTCTCCCCAAAGAGAGGTGTCCCCAAAACCTCTCCTCACCAAACTCTTGGGACCACACAAATGGACACGGGGCTACGGACTCCCAGGAATGGTCCTTTGACCCACGAGCCACTGGAAATATCATCCTCCAAAAGCGTTTCTCCAGGAAGAAAAGGGCAATGGAATGACAGTGTCCCCGCACCCCCCAGGCCTTCCTTCTTAGGGGCCAGTGAGTCGCCATCGTCTCAGGTTAGCAGTGCCTCATCATCATCGTCATCCTCCAAAAGCCATAGTACCCCACATGGTTGTCAGAGCGCTCGAGAGAAGGGGCTGAAGACTCGCCTCCCAGTGGGACTCAAAGTTCTCATGAAGTCCCCCCAATTGCTCAGGAAAAGTTCCACGGTGCCAGGGAAACACGAGAAAGACAGTTTAAACGAAGCCTCCAAAAGTTCTGTGGCTGTGAGTAAGTCTAAGCCAGAGGACTCCAGGAGTCCAGCAAGCCCCGATGAGACCCCAGGGGGCGGAAAACGCGTGACTGCAGCGGGTTTACCTGTGCAGGACGGTTCAGCTGAAGGGCTCCCCCTGGAAGCGGCACTGCCAGAGTCACTGGAAGGCAGCATCCCTGGGGCTGATGGAAGAGATGGGGCAGAAAACAGATCTGTGAAAAGATCCCTTTCCTCCAGCAAGCCACACCTAAAGCCCGCTCTGGGCATGAACGGCGCCAAAGCCCGCAGCCAGAGCTTCAGCGCTCACTCAGGAGACAAGCCCTCCACGCCCCCCGTGGAAGGGCCGGGCAAAGTCCGAACTCAGATTATTACCAACACCGCAGAGAGAGGCAATTCTCTGACCCGCCAGAACTCCTCCACCGAGGCCTCTCCCAGCAAGACCCCGTCTGCTCTGGTGTCTGAGAGTCTCCCTGGTGCCGGGAGGCCCTCGGGGCTCCCCTCCTCCAGCCAAGGCTCCCTGGGTAGCTCAGGCAGCTGCAGCAGTCATCATGGGAGCCCAAGCAAGTTGCCTTTGAGGATCCCTCCCAAGTCTGAAGGGCTCCTCATCCCGCCTGGAGAGGGGGCCCAGCAGGCCTATGCCCAGGGAGAGTGCCTCCATGTGGCTGTGCCTGTGGAGCCAGCCAGTGACCGCTGCAGGTGCCCACCCACCCCGACAGACTGCCCTCAAGCCCTGCAAAGCCCAGGAAGGATGCAGTGTCCAAGCTATTTTGAAACAAGCAGGACTTCCAAGTTAGAAACTTCTGGAAGGCATCCAGATGCCTCTACAACTGGGACTGGTGCTCTGAGCTCAGAAGCCCCCCCATCACCCACCATCGAAGAAAAGGTCATGTTGTGCATTCAGGAAAATGTGGAAAAGGGCCAAGTGCAAACAAAGTCCACCTCTGTAGAAGCGAAGCAGAAGCCCGGCCCTTCTTTTGCCAGCTGGTTCGGTTTTCGGAAGAGTAGACTTCCAGCCCTCAGTGGCAGGAAAATGGATGTCTCCAAAACCAAAGTGGAAAAGAAAGATGCAAAAGTCTTGGGGTTTGGAAACAAACAACTAAAATCAGAAAGAAAAAAAGAGAAAAAGAAGCCCGAAGTACAGCGTGAGATAGAAAGTGAGGTGATCAGGGATACCACGTCGGCAGATAGTCCAGACGGTGGTTTACAAAGCAAAAATAATTGGAAAACACCACAAGACATTTACAACCAAATGAAGTTTGAACCGAGAAATAGACCCAGCCCTGTTACATGTTCATCGAAAGATACCTTTCTGACGGAACTTCTGAACAGGTAACTCATTAGAAAAGTGGGTTACGGTAATGCACACCGTCTTAAAGAGAGTTGTTTGCTTCCTGCCAGTAAAGCATGTTTTTCATATAGGCAGAAATGCATAATAGCAGTCTTTTACACATTAGCCAGAATTTAAACAGTGACATAAAAGTTAGTAATAAAGTGATAATTTAGTCCATGTTGCTCTGTTAACCAAACCAATAGTCTTTGAAATTAAAGAATGGTAAGTTTTATCAAGGTTGACAGAAATTCAGCCTACCCTTGAAACCATGAATGTACCCACATGGCATGCAATGGAAGAAAATTACCCATATGTTTTAAAGCATGCCGATTTCGTTGATTGTACTGAGCAAACGTATATTTATAAACTTTCCAGAGATAATTACATTTCCTGCCGATCTTAAGCCAGAAACATATTTAGCAATCACTCTTCAGTGGTTTTTTTATTTTGCCCCTCCCCATAGCAATCATAAAAATAAATTATCATGAAATCTAAATTGACACACTACTGGAATATTTGAAGATTTGATCAAGGCTAGTGAGAAATACTTATCATTCAAAGGTTTCAAGACAAAGAGCTACACGGAGGTTACTTTGAACATCATAGGATTGGGAATAGGAGAGTGGTTAAGGAAGAGCAACGTAATTTATCAGAGGAATCACTTTCTACCTGCAGAGTTGATAAGAAAACAGCTCAACAGACAGAAAGTGGATCAAATAATGTTTCCTGCAGGAATGTGCTAAAGGGCAGTTCCCAGGCCTCCTGTCTCACCGGCAACTCTATCAGCACTCAAGGAAACCACAAGAAAAACATCAAAGCCAAAGCCGATATGGAAATACCGAAAGACTCCCTGGTAAGTGCTCCACCATCCTGGGTACCAAGTGCTACATTCTGGGATGTGCTGCCTGGGTTCCTTCTACTCCTTACTGATGGGCAAAATATGGGGGTAAGAGATTATGGGGGAAAAGAGAAAGTCAAAGAAAAAGATATTTTAAAAAGAGAGAGAGAAATCCTGGTGACAACAGCAGGCGGCCATCAGCTGGACCGAGAGTGGGCATGGCTCTCTCCAGTACAATACTTTTCCCAGCTCTGTTTTCAGAACCATGGTATAATCACGGTGCATTGCAGGTGAATGATGCTATAAGCATCATCTTCCAGTTATACCCTTTGCTGGAAATTTGTTTTGATGATTATTTCCAAAATCACTAGCAAGAAAAAGGAATGAACATGGTTTTAAAAATAAAAGTGCTAAACAATTTAAAAGAGTATTGACTATTTTGATGACATGATTTGAGCATTGTTCATTTTTTATGAAAGTTGTAGGAACCGATACATCCTACCTAGACAGAAGGTGTTAAAACTAAGAAATCATTTTTGCTACTTGGCTCCCTATCTTTCTGCTTATTCATTATAAGAACTCAGGGAGTAGACTTCCTTTAGAAGGTAAATAAGTAAGAGGGTATTTTTATACTTCCCTAGGGTATGTTGGTTTCAGATAATATTTTTTGTTTTATTTGTTATTTATTTATTTATTTTATTTTTGAGACAGAGTCTTGCTTTGTTGCCCAGGCTAGAGTGAGTGCCATGGCATCAGCCTAGCTCACAGTAACCTCAAACTCCTGGGCTCAAGCAATCCTCCTGCCTCAGCCTCCCAAGTAGCTGGAACTACAGGCATGCACCACCATGCTCAGCTAATTTTTTCTATATATTTTTAGTTGTCTGGCTAATTTCTTTGTAGTTTTAGTAGAGACAGGGTCTCGCTCTTGCTCAGGCTGGTTTCGAACTCGTGACCTCGAGAAATCCGCCCGCCTAGGCCTCCCATAGTGTTAGGATTACAGGCGTGAGCCACCGCCCCCGCCAATATTTTTTGTTTTAAAATTGCCTTAAATTGCACTATTCTTCTTACATTCTTATATAATTGACTTGATGATGTTTATTGTTTCTTTTAGGTAGAGCACTTAAACAAAAAAAAAAAAACAGTAATTTAGAGAATTACTGTATCTCTGTAGTATATGCTATCATTTTCTGAGGGAAAATTTGAAATATGAAGTAATTACATATCTTTTTTCTGGAGTGGTTTGAAAGTAAAGGAGATTTTAAAAGTGATCATGGTTGGCATTCTTAGTTATTAATTATTAGTTGTAACTACTTACTGATGTCTAGGTTTCCTTAGAGTTTCACAGACTTTAATCTGAAAATATTTTATTCAAATAGCTCTTGGCTCTGCAGAACTCTAAGGCCTTTTCTTTAAAAAAATATCTCCAAAATTGTATGCAGATTATGCTCATTGCAAAAGTTTTTTTTTTTTTTTCTTTTTCCCCTCATTCTTGCTCTTGGCTCTCATGGTATCATCCCTTCTTTGAAAACGGTAGATATCCCCTGCATTATAAAACCACAAATTATAAGCATATCTAAGGCTGCCCTTGTAGTGTCACTGAAAGGAAAGAGAGCGAATGAACGTGTGGAAATGTGCAATATGCTGGAAATTCAATCCAGCTGATGGAAAACTTTGATAGCCTGGCAGAGCCCCTTATCAGAGGCACTCAATTTAACTATGCCCCATTTAATATGGTTCTGACAGCTCCGAGTATATCTTCACTGTACAGGCGTACCAAAAAAACAAAAAGACCCTGTATTTGGCTGTTACAATTTCATTTTTACTTTCTTATTACTTCCTAATACTAAAGTTATTTGCCATGCTTTTCCTCTCTCATCTGTAGTCTTTCACAGGGTGGTCATAAGGGTTCTTTGGTCCTTCCAGAATATCTGCAAGAAACACTCTTATTATTTTCTGTGAAGCATAAAGATTCCCTAATCACCCCAAATATACATAATCAATAGGGATATGCTAATTTTTCTAGTTAGCTGCAAGACAAAATTAGTCATGCTGAGAAGCTTTTCCATACAGAGAAATGTTATTAACCTGGATAGTTGACCAGCTAGTCATTTTTTAAATGTAAAATGTAGTGTTTCTTGTTTCATCTCCATAATCATCAGTGTGAATTGGGCTAAAATTACTAATTTCAGAAAGGACATTGCTGTAGACTCCTGTGGGACTAGTACAAGAATAGCAGTGAAAACTCATTTATTATATGTTATCAGCTTATATAGGAAGGAGATTAGATGCAAAATAAGATGTATTTTAATACCGCAGCACATTGATGTGAATACCCATGAACCTTTTAAAATTCAAAGTTTAAGGGAATTTTCCCCCCCACAAGGGCTCAAGGTAAATTCTCTATCTGCTTATTTTAAAGAGTATTGCAAATCACGTTTCTCATAGTAGTTATTTTAGACGAAAACAATGGCTACATATAATGCATTACATATCACACTTTTTTCCTGAACAAAACCATTGATCAAAAACCCTATGACATATAGGAGTAGTGTAGTTTCCCACAGTTCCTAAAAAGAGTGCCAAGGACAAGACCTGCAGATACTAGGAGTTTGAAGTGGTCCTCAGGAACACAATCAAATGAGGCATCTAGACAAGGGACTGACAGCATCTGCTACCCAGGGTCATAATGCCTACTCATAATATTGCAGTGTATGAGGAACAAATCCTAGCAAATTTCTTGACTATACCTGCCAAATGGTCTTCCAGACATCATGTGGACAGTGACCACGATTTTGACAGAATCCACACCTGGGACAATTCAACTTGTAACAAAAACTATAGTCATCAAGTGCAGTGATTGTAAACCTTCAATATCCTGGAACCATAGGGAAATAAATAGTTGAGCTGAAAAAATATATTTACCACTGTGAATAAAAGTTCTCAGAAAAGGAATCTGGAAGAAAGAGACCAGCAAACCAAGGAGACTCAGGTGTGAAACAACCATGTGATCCAGAGAACAAAGGGAAGGCTGGGGTTTTATAGCAAAAGTTCTGGAGTAGATTCCCAATCAGGTTCATTTATGCAAATGAAGGATTGCAAAAACTCAGTTCTGGTTGATCAGTGCAGCTGAGTTCTGATTGGTTGATACAGCTAAGTTTTGATTGGTTGATACAAATGAGCTGTGATTGGCTGGTTCACGTGAGCACTGATGGTTTCAAAAAATAAAAGGTGCAGCTTTTCAGGGAACTCAGAGTACCTGTGGGACCCGTGATAATGGCTGCTTGGTTCTATTTAAATTTAAAACAGCCACTTAGGATCCATCTTGAAGGACTGTCTCTTCCAAGATCACATTTATACGTATCATCATCCCTTGCTCTTTACAAGCTGATATATAGTTATGAGAGTCCTAAGGCATTTTAATTATTTTCATCTATAGTGATTACATTAGAAAGATTATTTCCATACATATAACAAATCCATGTATGTAGTAAACCTCCACTTAGTTCACTAGTAACTACATATCCATTTTTAGTATTGCTAGAAACATTCTAAAATATGTTTAAAAGTCCCATTAATGCGTTGCTGAATTAAATCCTTTTCTCATTTCAGAGCCTTAATTAGAGGCTTATGTCCCCATTTCTGCCATCATTTACAGACCACTTAGCTCTAATTTTTGTGTAATTTAGACAAGGACCATGTTACTTTGTACTTTTATTTAAATTATATAAAATCATTATAAAAGGGGGAAAAGGCATCTTCTAGAAAGACTGCATTGGTATAAGTCAGAAAGAGGTGCACTTTGCTTGCTGCACATTGTAAGTTCGTCCTTGTGGATTTAGATAATTTTCTGAAATGAGAAGTCTCAAAGGAAGACAGCCCCAGGCTCCTACTTAACTATCACTGGACAAAAATAAAATCATTAACAAAATTAACAAGATCATATATCTTCATCATGCACTGGAAAGAGATGGTCATTTAATATGGGTACTTTAATTTAAATTATGGGTATTCTCACCTGGTGTCACAGTCTGAAAAAAAAATCACATCTGCTAATAAAAAAGCATCAAATACTATCCCATTAAAATGGTACTGTGGTGATAAAATAGTACTGTGGTGAAGAAAATAGTACAATAATTACACAAATTGTTGTCATTAAGTTCTGCAAAATGTTATAATTTTAACATCCTTAATTGAATGATTCTGTTCTAAATGCTATTTTGGTGCTAATAAGAAGCGTGCATATTTTCTTCTCCTCTTGCAAAGTTTTCTAAATGACTAACTTTTCCAAAGGTTATGCCTTTTAGGAGTGTTTCCTCCCAGGATCATTTCCTCTCTCACTTCGATTCATGATGTTTTTTTCCTTTTAAATGAGCTTTGACATCAAAATGTTGTTTTCTTGGGAAGCCATTAGTGTTAGGGTGATTCAAAGAAGAGATGTGTACAGAATTCCAAATGAAGGGTATTCACAAATAATAGGTTTAATTATGAAATTATGTATATGTATTGATCAGTGGTGAATTGTGTTTTCTTTTTTTCCTCCTGTGTCTTTCGTAAGCTCATTTCTTCCTGCCCTTCCTAGTGATAGGGGTTAATAGAATACGATGAGTGCAGTGATATTTAATGGTTGTCTGTTACAGATTGGTATTTGGAGCAGTTCCTGACTACAACTGTAGAGTCCTCCAAAGTGGACAAGAGTTAGTGATGTATCATTAGACGACACCCAAAGTACTGACAAGCTTAAATCCAAAACAACCCATAGTTGATGCTTGTGGGTCACTTGCTACTCTTTACCAAATGAGACATTACTAAGTTTAATTTGTGTCTGTTCCTGGGACAGCAAGGACTGAGAAATTTCTAAATTTCTAAATCTCTCAGTCTTTTCTCAGCCAAACACTTGCCAAACTTCTTGGTTTTGTGGCCACACCAATTCTTTACAGCACTTTACCATATGGAGGTTGTCCCATTGTGCCTGTCTTCAGCAAGTTCTTAATCTTGACCTGACAGCCCCCTACTATCCAGGAAAGTTCCCACAACTTCCTACCAACACCCAACCACTGTGTGTTCAAGAATGAAAATTAATTTAAATTTCATCCTGTGAAAAATATAATTAGCAAGGGGAATCTACTGCTAAAATAAATTATGCCCCTAATTTCCATAGGCAAATGAATTTTTTTTAATTACTCGCCACATTGAATTGAAATCTATTTATATGGATAATTAGAGTTGACAAGTATGTCCCCATTTTCCATTCCTTTGTTGCTTCTTCATCCATCCCCTTCAAGTTCAAAATTTACCCCGTATAGGTCCTCTGCCCCTCATGGGTCATCCAGCCCAAGAAACTTGTCCACAAGTCCAGTTCCTCTGATAAATCTCCAGAGGTCACACTGAGCATTTTCTGTTCGGCACATAAAGCCGAAAGGCTCTTACAAGGAGCTGACAGGTAGGGCTATGCAATAGCTTTTATTTTCTTTCTTAAATATGATACTTGAAGAAGGTGGTGATGAAGTTCTATAGAAAGGTTAGGGAATAATAGGAAAAGGAAGCAGAGCAGTTACACATAGACACACGCACACACACATAGAACACGTTTTCTACTTTTAAATTAAAATATGTGTATGGATACTTGGAATATTGCCTCTGTCTCTAACTGCCAGAAAGATAGAGTAGTTCTTGGGAAGGTTTGGGAATGTTAGTTGTGACAATATGGGGCACTCTGAAAATTTGAATGATAGCAATGAATAGGAATCAGGAGTGCCCATTCTAAAACTAAAGTCCTGTGTGACTTTGAACAGATCACTAACCCTCTCGGAGCCTATTTTCCTTTGTAAGGCGAAGACCTTATTCTAATTCATTTTTTTTTTTTTAAACAGAGTCTCACTCTGTTATCCTAGCTAGTGGGCAGTGGTATCATCATAGCTCACTGCAAGCTCAAACTCCTGAGCTCAAGCGATCCTCTCGCCTTGGCCTCCAAGAGTGCTAGGATTACAGGAATGAGCCACCACGCAGGGCCCTAAATTTTTTATTCTTTAATTTAGAATTTCGCAGGCTGACAGAGATGATGATTCATCCAATTCCAACAGGTTATGAGGGCACACTTGCAAGTTTAAAATGAGTAAATTTAGAAAAACCCAAAGGAAATGTAATTACCTTAATAGGTAGACAGAACGTATTGCTATAAGAGCCAGTATGAACTGAAAATATAAGTGGGTTTCTTTAATGTTTCTACAAAGGAGGATAGAAGACTCCCAATTGATTATTTATGGAAATTAAGGTGTTTGGGGATCCCTTCCACAATGGATCTTTGGTTCACCTGCCTTTTCACAAACAAGTCCCTGAGCTAAATGAACTGTGGAAGGCAAATAAGTAGCACTTTAGCCTTGCTCATGCTTGTAGTATTTTTCCTTTTTGCCATCCATCAATAGATACTGCTAGAAATAGTTAGTTAATAAAGCCCCTTTTTCCTTCTTTCTTTCATTCTCTGACTTCCTTCCTGTGGAGGTGCTAGGCAACAGGGAATAGCCCGCAAGAACTGACAGCCGAAGGGGAATGAGAGGGATGAAGCATGGCCTCTAGATGTGGGACCCTTAGCAATCTCCCTTTGGGAGGGTTGAGCTGGCCGCCTCCATGCTCTCTTGAGTCTGCCATCTTCTGGCATGGTACAGATTAAGCACCAGTTATATTCTGATATTGGAACTGCAGTCATAAAATGTAAATAATTGGTCTTATTCCATTAAGTACAAAAATAGGAGGTAAAAAGTGGGGAAGCTAAATCCAGCTCAAGGTCAGTATGCAACCATATAACTTTCTACATTGCAAGTATAAAATAATGATTTCTTGGCATTCGACTCAAGCCCTTGAGCAAATCCATTGGCAGCCCCTAATGTATATGCCCAAGCGGGACCTTGATTGCATTGTACAGTTCACGTTATTATCACTGGCTGCTCAGGTGACTGGCTAAAATGTATTTTAAAACAGCTATGTAGGGTCATCCCCCCCCCCCCAGAACCCTAAGCTTGATATTGAGGCCAATTCTACTTTGAGAATAACAAAGTTCCTCCAAATGAACATGAATCTGGAGTTTGACTTGCTGTATTTAAATCCCAGCTCCACCACTTGGACGACTGACTACTTATCTTCTCTGTTATTTTGGGGTGGGTCTTCATCTCTAAATTGGAGCTAGCAGTAGCACATACTGCATAGCATTGTTGTGAGAATTTGGAGATCTTACATGTAAATAGCACCTGCCACATAGTATGTAAGCATGTGCTGTTTTTATTATGGTTGGGATTGTTGATGATGTGGTTACTGCTATTGCTACCCGACTGGAAAGTAGGGGACCTGGGTTTCCTTTGCCAGCTTTGCCATTTACTGTCTGTATGCTAACTTTAAGGATACCTCTGGACCTCAGAATTCTCATGTGTGAAATACCGTGACTTCATTAGATTCTCTATACAGTTTTATTTGATGCTATCCCACCAAGCATCTGGGTATTCCAGTGAAATATAAGGGGAATGTTTTTGACATGAAAAATCTAGATAAACGTCTCACTGATCTAGTTCACTGATCATATGTCAGAGTCACCTCTTCTCAGTGTGGAAAGACTGAAATAAAGAATCATTTTCTGAGTTATACTCCAGGAAAGGGTCAGGAGATCTAAGTACATTTTAAGTATAGTTCTTTATTCTTATTAAAATAACTTGTGGTAGAAGTCATTGACTCTGGAGGAATTATTCCTCCTTAGACTTTAATTTTTCTTAACAGCCCTGTGTTACTGACTTTTAAGTATTAAAAACCAAAGCTTTTATCTCTACAATCTTGTGTGGAATCAGGTACCTTGTAAATCCTCTCTTTAAGAGCTAAGGTTATATTTCTGAACATATTCTCCTGAAATTAAAACTTGTAATAAAACCAAATTATGAAGTGGGGGAAAGTGGAATGAAAATATATATATGTATATGTATACATACATAGAGTCACATATGTATGTATAGGCACACATACACACTCACACATTTGTTACAGAAAATATCATTATAGTGATGATTGCAAAAGGTCTATTTAATATAATAAATAAGAACTTCTAGTATTTTCTTATTGCTGCAGATAAAAGAGGCAAATGAAAACTTGCAAGAGGATGAAGAAGATACAGTTGCAGATTCTGCATTTCAGAGCCACAGCATAGGTAAAAAATTGTGTTTTGATACATCTTTTACGGAGACATTTTATACGTGCAACCTTCTCTCAGACACGGGTGCATTCCTAGAAACCATGTCTCCCATGCCTCCCCCTATCAAGACTGAGTCTTAACTGCTCACATGTGGTTACCTTTATCTTCTTAGACATTGGACACCACCATAAAATAAGTGGGTCAAAGCAGCACCCACAACGAAAACATAGGTCTTTGCAAAGGAATGCAGCGTGAACTGATGAGAAGTGAGTACTTGTCAGTATACAATGAAAGTGATACTGAGTGTAAATAATTTTTCTCTGAGGACAAAATCAGCTTTGAGCTGATATAATTTCTATAATTGTCTCAAGCAACACCTAGTGCAAATACCTATTAGTTAGAAATGTGGAGTGGTGGCTTCCTTAAATTGAATATTTTTTGAACCAAATGTTTTACACATAATACCAAAGAGAATAAGAAAATATAATTTGCCAAAATCTTCAACTTATTTTCTTCATCACTGCTGTTAGAACCCTGAATATAGATAGTCTTGTCTCGGAAATAAGTTCAGCTTATCAGCTACTTCTTAAGATTGTGCATAACACCAGGCTGAAGGAATCCAAGTTCCCAACACAGAAGGACTTTGCTGACCTTCAGCAGCCAGGAAGTAACCAGAGATGGAGGAGTTGTCTGTAACCGTGATCTTTGTCGGGAGATAGAAGAGGTGATGCCTGTAACAGCTCCAGGCCACCTTGGACAAATGAAGAATTAGTTGTTCCTTGGGCTCTAAAAATAGCTGCAAATGTGAGCATGCTGAGTATTTGGCTTTCCACAAGACACCAAGACATGGTGGAATCATTTCTCCAAGTCCCATTTGGGTGTCGGAGACAGTATTGGATAACCACGTTCCAGGATAAGGCAGCGCCACGGATTGCTGGTGTCTGGTATAATCAGTGTCCATCGCTCCTGTCCTTCCACTCGGAGCATCTTCAGCTCCCGACTCTCCAATATCCCACCACTCTTAGCACACTGTGTTGGTGCACTTTGCAGCTGATTTTCTAGCGTGCTCAGCGGTCTTCTGCAAACTATAATTTACAGTTTGTCTCAGAGAGTTGTTGTACCCCCACAGCTTAATGAGACTGGCACACCATGATTATTCCTTTCATTTGTAATTGGGAATACAAAAGTCTTAACAAACACTGAATGGGTATAGTCTGAATAAGATTATTATTCCAAAAAGACGTCCTTTATTATAGTTGTCAATGTAAAATGCTTAAATTGGTATCAGTTCTGCGTAGTTGGCTAATATTCAAGTTAAATATTGTTCAACAGCCTTCAAACATGACACTATGTAAAGCCCGCTGAGTCATCATTTTTCTATAATGAAGTGTTGGGGCCTGTTAAAATAGAATATATAAAGTCAGAAGCTAAATTTTTTCTAAGAGAACTATAGGAATCTTAATATTTTGCCATTCTTTAGATTTGTACCATTTGATGTAATAGCCACTAGCCATATATGTAGCCATTTTAAGTTAATGAAAGCAACACAAAATTAAAAATGTATTTCCTCAATCATGCTAGCCACATTTTGAGAGTTGAAATGGCCACATATTCTGTAGAGTCATGCATCACTTAATGACAGGGATATGGCCTGAGAAATGCATCAGTAGACCATTTTGTCATTGTGGGAACATCGTAGAGTGTGCTTACACAAATGTAGATGGTGTAGCCACTACACACATAGGCTATATTGCATAGCCTGTTGCTGCTAGGCTACAAACCTGTACAGCATGAACATGTTACTGTACTGAATACTGTAGGCAGTTATAACACAATGGTAAGTATTTGTGTACACATAAAAATATGATATCAAAGATAAAAAATGGTATATGTATTGGGCACTTAGCATGAATGGAGCTTGCAGGACTTCAGGTTGCTCTGGGTAAGCCAGTGAGCAGGTGGTAAATGAATGTGAAGGCCTAGGACATCACTGTACACTACTATAGACTTTATAAACACTGTACACTTAGGCTACACTGAATTTACTTAAAATTTTTTCTTCAGTGATAAATTAACCTTAGCATACTGTAACTTTTTAAATTTGTAAACCTTTAAATTTTATTCAACTTTTTACTCTTTTATAATAACACTTAGCTTAAAAACACATACAGCTGTATGAAAATATTTTCTTTATTTATATCCTTATTCTATGAGCTTTTCTCTATTTAAATTATTTTTTACTTTTTATACTTTTTTATTAAAAACTAAGATGCAAATATGTACATCAGCCTAGGCCTACCCAAGGTCAGAATCACCAGTGTTACTGTCTTTCACATCTGGTCCCTGTGGAGAGTCTTCAGGGAGCTGAATCAGAGCTGTCATCCCCTGTGGGACACCTCCTGAAGGACCTGAGGTGCTTCTCCTGAGGCTGTTTTACAGTTAAAAAATTTTTTTAAAAAAGGTTTTTTTTAATAAGTAGAAGGAATACACTCTAAAATAATGATCAATAGTATATTTACTTATGTAAGCCATAACATAGTCATTTATTATCATTATCAACTATTATGTACTATACATAACTGTATGTGGTATGTTTTTATATTACACACCAACACCACCAAAAACACATGAATAATTGCTCTACGATGTTATGTCAGGGGCGGGGCCACCCTCAGAATTTTTCAACTCCATTACAGTCTTATGCGACCACTTTCATATATGCAGTTCATCATTGACCAAGACATCATTCTGCAGCACATAGCTGTAGATTCTATATCATACATAGATGATACATATTCCTTCATCACACAAACATATATGTTCTGTATAAATATTTCCTTCAGCACCGCTCTGTTGGGCAGTGCTGCTTTAGATTACTGTAATGGAAGTAAATTCGGGCCATGTATTTGACAGAGCACTGACTTCGTGTTCAGATCATTGTAGACTTATCTCTTCAAAGTGGTAGAGAATTATATGAATAAGCTACTGTTGGCTACAGGTAAACAAAAAAAGCCTGAACTGCCATTATTTACATGATAAAGCCATTATCATCTTATAGAATTAAAAGTCTAGAGGAAGGCAAACATGAAAGAGGTGTGTAGCAGCTCAGTAGCATTACCAAAAGCCCAGGCTTCTTTTCTCTATCTATTCGACCAGATTGCTGTGTTGGCTTTTTGTCCTCATGTTTGTTGCCTCTAGTTGCAAACTGATTCCCAACACTCTAGGCGTCCCGTCCCTTTTGAGACAAAATTATAAGGAAGAGTAAAAGCGTTCCCAGAATCCCCCCAAACACTGCATCTTCTGTGTCACTGGTGAGGAATGGATCACACAGCCAATCCTAGCTGCAAAGGATGCTGGGAAAGTAAGTATGTTGCTTTCCGGCCTCCATTGCATGCAGTAGCAGAAAGGAAAGGGTTGAGAATATTTCCTGGCTAGCCAGTCCTTAGGATCGCCACAGACCTTCTAGAAAGTTCCTCCATTTTAAGAGTGAATGAGACTCAACAAAATAGAATGGCTATCTATCTTAATTCCACAAAACGGGCCAAGAATATATTGTCTTGCACCCTGATAATCCCAGTGTTCTTCACTTTGTCTAAGCTAAGTGTTGTCATAAATTCTACAATACTTATAATATATTTCCAGTAGCATCAACTGTGCAAATCTAAATAAATTCTTCTTTCAACCAGTACCAGCTAATGTCTTGGACAGAGAAGAAAAATTACGAAAGTTGTGAACTTGAACATTTGCATTTGTGTGGTTAAGGGTAATCATGTTAGTTTAATCAAACTATTATAAGTCCATTATAAAATAAGATATTGTTAACTAAACCTCTGTATTGAAATTCAAAATTTATGACCAAGTAAAATAATGCAACTAGATTTTTGTCTTGAAAATTGCCCTAATAAATGACTGACTTCCATGTTAAACAAAGCAAACAACTAGACTAATAGAAGGATTAACACAGTGATCACAACCACCATATTTCTAATTATTCTTTCCTGCTATTTAACTATGATACATTTGCCCTATGTATTATACTAATTGTCTACAAAGGCTAAACAACTAGTAGGAATTCAAATACCATCCATTGTCTTGTATCAAAAATATCAGCCAGTGATAATCAAATATAATTCCCTAAATGGAGACAGTGTATTTGGAAATTCTTGAAATAAGGAGAAAATGTCTTTTGAGGCATTTGAGGAAGAATACTATTGAAGCAGAATCCAATAGTATTCACATAAACAAGGATGCATTCCTGAAGTAAAAGATGTATGTTATTTTCCCAAAACCTAAAAAAGTTACAAAGGACAACCTGTCCAGTAGTTTAACAGGCAAATGCCCCAGTGCCCCATGGTTGAATGAGATCTGTTTACTTTCTCCCGTTGTCTGGGTTTACTCCTAGCCTCTTCTGAAGGAGCCAGGAGGGTTCCTACTACCAGAGTACAGCATGACAAGGGACATGGTCTAGTCCTGATGGTGTGGTTTTTCTTGGATAACTCTGTGAAATTGCCTTGGTGCTCTCTTCCCTACCCCAGGAAGTAATATTGCCTCTAAGGGATCCTATCATCCCGTTCTATTGTCCTTCTTCCATTCCTTCCCAGAGTGGCTTGTCCTATCAGCAGCTAATGTCTCATGCAGGAGGATAAGAGGTGCTCAGTAAGTACCTCTGAGTGACTTAACTCTGTAAACCAGTGGGCATTTCCCTTTTCCCAGGGTGTTTCATTTCTTTATCCTTTACCCTATCCTAGACCTAGGCTAACTAATATGGTAAAGTAACTCATGTCCTTGTAGTAATGGATTAAACAGTCACCTTTAGGTGACATATTTGTATTGTAACAAGGACACAGGCAAAGTTTTACCTTTAGTTAAGAGGAACTCTTGGGAGCTGTAAGTTTTAGGCGCTCAGAGTTCTGGTTTGAACAAATCATGGGATGAGGAAGAAAGAACAGGATCAAGCCTACTCCAGACAATGAACAGCACAAGAAGCAGTGCCAGGGGAGAAAAGAGTTGTCCTG